TCCTCGTCTTTTCTCCGCTATTCCGCATTGCGGTCGTGCACCAACCGTATGGTTACTTTATATATAGCATTCACTTTCTTATGACATGGGCGCTTTTATATACCTGAAGGCTGGAACGGGAAAAGCCTGTGCCGGACACATGAGAGTCAGAGGCCGATCGCAGTGAACTGTGTACGTACGCGAATTCTCTGTCATCGGAAATTTCGGTTTTGTGCTGGCAACTGGCTCTATAAGAAACCGAAAAAAGCACGAGCGTACAACACGAATTTACAACTGCCCAATTGCAATTATAAAACATCAATTTAACTAATGATATAATTTTTTTTAATTGTCATAAAAGCGATTGCTGAGACAGGGCACACAATGTTCTAATTATTTTAAAATAAATTATTAAAATTATAAAATTGTAAAAATATTTTTTAAGCAAGATAATTACAATTTTATTTTATAATTAAAGACAAGCTTATTAACTGTAAAAATAAAATAAAAAATAATTACGCTTTCAAAGAAAATTAAATTTAATTAAACATGTTGTTGCTCGTGCTTTTTTTCTGCCTCTCATTAGAATTTTCGTCTTTTATCCCTATAATCTAAATTAACATTTATGTGCTCTATATATTGCGATATATAACCTTGTCCCACCTATGCGAAGGAACAGGAAACCCTTGAGCAGGGCAGAGTAAAATCAAAGTATCAGCTTGGCTCGAGACAAATCCGCGTGAATTATCCATTGTTGGAAACTTTGGGCGTACGCTCCCTACGGGTTCTACAAAAAGGCCGAACGTGAAAGGAAACGTGTCAGAAACGATGGTGACATCACAATAATCCACTTATATATGCCAGGGGACAGGGACCTTCTGAATGGTTGAAGTGCTCAAAAGGAGATAACCACAGCATGAAATCTATTATTTACCTAGATGCTATATATTTTTGTGTCGTATAATATTTTACGCTGGATGTTGCCACACGAAATATCTAGATTTCTAAAATCTTTTAGCGTTTCGTTATAAAAGTGCAATTAATATTCTGAAAATTCGTAAAAGCGTTGCGGAAGATTGTGATCTTATATAATCTTACTAAAATCGATACTTCAATGATACGATTTGCCCTACCTATAAGACGGAAGCGGGAATCCTTGCGCGGGACAGAAAAGTGGCAAGCTCCCATTGCTCTTCGTCACAAGTCCAATCAAGTTGACGATACTCGAAAGTTTTGGACGTGCGCTCGCTACGGGCTCTGTCGGTCGCAGCCCAGAGAAGAAGACAATTATAAGAGAAAACGACGTTGAAAAGCCCACGAAGCGTCACCGCGAGTTTCGACTTACTTGTGAAACGGGACAGGGAACCCTTGAGCGGGGCACAACAAAGTCACGGATCCACCTTTGATCATGCGAAATCCTCTGATGTCGTCTATCGTCGGAAATTTCGGTTTCGCGCTGCCGACTGGTTCTAAACATTATTGAACTCTGCATGTATTATCGCTAGCAATACTGTTTACCTACAAGACGGGGAACCCCTGAAGCTCGTACTGAATTTATATCTTTCGTCAAAAATAATGCGATCTTGTCTTTCGGCGCCGCATAAACTTTCCGCGCAGAACTACGAATGCAGGCGGTTCTCGCTTTAAGTTTAATCCTAAAAAATGCAACATAGAAAAACTTTCTTTATAATAATTTTGTAATTTAAAATATTATAAAATTATAATTATTTTTATATATAAAAACATATACGAAAGATAAAAAATACACAGAAAAAATAGAGTAATAAATAATATAAAATTATTAATGCAGTTATATCGCTCTTGATCGATTAATATCAAATTGAGGTCATATTGCTAATTAGGGAGCGATGTAACGTAAAACGAGAACCGGCGCGATGTCAGGCATACCATCACTAATTACCAGCAGCTTCACCGTACGGAATATCTAATCGCAATCTCTTAATGGCAAACTAACATGAGAGTACGCTGTAAGTCTCGAGTGATACCAAGGTACTCGACGATATAATACCTATATGACGGGACCGGGAAGCCCTGAGCGGGGCACAGAAGCGGCAAAGTTCCATTTGTGGACGTGATGAGACCGTTAGTGATGCTGATACTGGGGAACTTGGGACGAACGCTTCCCACGGGTTCTGCGATGAGTAATGGGAAGAAGAGAAAAAGAAAACAAAAAGTAGCAACTTTCGCGCGGCGCGACTTACTTGTACAGAGGGACAGGGAATCCCTGAGCAGGGCACATCAACGTGACCGAGCCGTCCTTGATCGTACGAAAACTCCTGGAGTCATCAATCGTCGGGAACTTGGGCCTCGCGCTGCCGACCGGCTCTGATCATATCGTTTATAATTGCGGGGTTTGCACGCCTATGGCGAACGGTCGTCCCGAGGGACTCGCGTTCGCTCGCGACTACGACGCTGTGGTCTCTACCTGTACAGGGGAACGGGGAACCCCTGTCCCGGGCACATCAAGGCCTGAGAGCCTCCGACAAGCATCCGGGAGCCGCGCACATCGTCCGTCGACGGGATCTTTGGGCGCACGCTGCCTACCGGCTCTAAAAAGTACGTCGTTTTTGTCTTTGCGTCCCTCGAACTTGCTTGTAGTTTTCATACAAATTAACTTTGCGAAAAAATAAATAACGAATCATTCACGGTGTTGTGATTGCAAACGCGAATTTGAGTATCGAGAGAGAAGGTCGATGACTTCTTTTCAAATAGATCGGTGAGAAGGAACGGGGAACCCCTGTACTAGACACACGATACCTTGCAGCATAATTTGCAGAGATACACGATAGTAATGCTTATACCGCAACTATAAATTTTAGAATTATCTGATAAATGGAGTCACGTTTGCTTACAAGAACCAGTCCTGAATAACAGTATTAATAATTTTCTAGTTATCAGGTATTTACAAATACGCACCTGTAACTCTGATTTGCTATCTTCGCTACTTGTTATTATATAATTTTATTCTCCACGATTTTCTGAATTACAATCCTAGCAAATGAAAAAAAAGAGTATCTAATCCATCGTTATCGTCGTTAAGCTGTGCTGACGTGAGCTGCCCTATATTTCTTAATAGAGTTTAATAGAGTTTCCAATATCATAAGCTATTTTACGCTCCGATTAAGGATATCGTACCTATGAGACGGTACAGGAAATCCTTGGGCAGGACACAGAAGCGGCATATTGCCTTCCAAGCTCACGGAAAGTCCGTTTAGGTTGTCCATCGTAGGAAACTTTGGTCGTACACTCCCCACGGGTTCTGCATAACGAAAAGCCAGTAGAGCCGTGTACTTGCCAAGCCCCCTATTCGTACCGCCAATCATCGTTATTACGGCTACATTGCATCTTGCTCTAGTTAGTCCCTAGATTGTTGCATCGCGCATCGTGTTCTACCCAGCGTGACTCGACAACTTTGCCTTCGCGCTATTGCGTCGCTTATCGTGACGAACAAAGCGATTCGCTCATCGGCGTCATCCTGCCGATCAGTATAGTACTCGACGGCTATCAGTACCGAAAGTGATTTTGCACTCAACGTGCCGCGAACGTAACGCCATGAATAATAATTCGTTGGAGTGAATTAAACTCGTATGACTTTGAACCACCTGAACTGCACGTAAAGCAAGCCGTTGAGCGAAATAGTGATATCATGAATCATGATTATGAATATTGTAAAAAATAAAAGCCTTACATATGCTATTTTCATACGCAATTATTCCGATATAATGTAAAATTTTAAATTTTTATAAAAAAAATAGCAAGACAGAACATGCAGAAATCTTTCAGAGTTCTTAAAATAAGAAATGTGTGGCCACTGTCGCACTTAACGGCACGAATATCACTGATACTATAGAGACAAACAAAGACTCGATTGATTTCGCCTAATTTATAGCACAGAACGGAGCTCAGCTGCCACGTTGAGTGCCACGTCTACTGAACGTGCGCAATATCCACACGATGAAATTCTCGGCTGAAAAAACATGTTCCATAAACTTACCACGCGAGAGCGAAGGACAGAGCCCGGAGATCGCGGAAGGCGCCGCGAAGCGTCGAAAGAATTTCGCACAAATCATTTCTTTCTTTCTTTCATTTATCTCTCTTTGGACAATTGTTCTCTCGAAACCGATCATGCCAAGAGTCGAGTTTTGGGCGGGCGGTGGCGCGTGCCCGCAGGGGTACCCTGTCCCAGCATTCAGGCTTACCCGCGAGCTTGATCGCGTTAAATATTAAACATGCATATCATCTAAAATAAAAGGTTCGAAGGGGCTAATGTAAAAATATCAAGTAGCTTTTCTCAATAATTGATCTTTTTGACAAAAATTAAGAGAGTCGATCAAGCTCGTTGGCATAAACAACTACACGTTCATCGAACGTGATAATCTACCCGGAGAGATAATTGATTTTCAAACAACAAGAAATTTTCTTGTACAAATACAAATTAGCAGAGTTTAAATAGCAATTGCTTTGAATGTCAGTCTTGCGCTAGATTCTTCTATTATGAAAAATTAATTATCTCTCGGGTGATAGTTCCGAACCCAGATACCTCGCAAAGTAATGGATTATGACGAAAGCATTCAAAAATTGATGTTTCCAAATTTACTAAATAACAAGACATATAAACTAATATTTAGTATGAAATTTGTTACGACGTTGAATTCACATTAACGTTAAAATTGATCACTTAAATGAATTATCGCGCAATGTAATTTGCTAATTATTTACTTTTCATAATTTTGGTTATGTAAAATAAATACTGCGATTAATGATGTTGACTAAAATATTGATCCGCAAAGTTGAAAATGTAAATTATTATGATGTATCCGGGTCCGAAACTAGAAATACGATTCTGATTTCGTTTGAAAAACAGACGTTGATTAATGAAGCTATACCCCTCCGCTTACATCGAAGGATGATCGAGATACGTTTCTAAAAAGAACAGTGCTAAATCAGAATCGTAATTTCCATATGAAAGAGAAACGAAACACTTTTGCGTTTTGACTCACCAGTAATGACGAGACGTCCCTTCGTAGCGGATAACCTAGTTTCACCTGTGAGTCTGTGCTTCGTGCGACATTGGTAAGTCTTGTATCCATCTTCGGGTCCGACGTCTCTGATGTGCAGTTCTCCAGATGGTAGTACCAAGTATTTTCCATCTGAATCCACCCAGAGTTACACAGATTAGTGATTGCACATTTGGTCTCATTCATATAATTTGTCAGGATAATCGATCAATTCATTATTACTTGTTTGACTTGATTCACGCGATCCAAATCACGTGATATCATTACCAGTTATTTAACTGATTAAATGATTAATTATTAGCACATATGTGTTATTAGTGCGAAGGAGAAATCGATTATCCCGACACAATCGCACGATACCTCGAACGACAGCAATGTAAAATTGCCAGACTTCGAGCATAATGCTGTTTGATTAATATACATGCGACATCTTCCGTGTACAAATTCGTCGAACTCTGAATTATCACGGACCCTTTGTCAATCTTCCGTCTCAATGTTCGGCGAATTCTTTACGAAATCAAAGCACGTTCGCCAAACAATGGGAAGCATGAGAATCTCGCGCGCACGTTGTCGCGCAGACGCATAGGAAAGCTATTATGCAGAATCACGTTTTCATCTTTTTGGAAGTGAAAACACATGACGCGCAACATTCCCATTGCTTGTTGGAGCATCCAGGAAATCTGTTTTTATTGCAACAAATGTAGAAAGAATATAACATTTATAACATTTATTATATAATACCATAGACATGGTAAATAAAGATATTCTCATTATTTCATTTATCAAAATTTTCAATGAATTAAATTAAATCTCTATGTACAATATAATATAAATTATTTTTACTTCAACAAACAAAATATAACAATTGCTTGTTAACCCGTTAAAGTTATTCTCCATGTGATTGAAATTGCAATTTCAGCGCCTCTAATGAATCGGATCGCTTTTGCGGCCGAGTCTCATCGGCAAACAAGAGTTCCTGGATAGGCGAACTAGTTGCATGCGATCACACACAAGCGGAAACCATAATCATTTAGCTACCGTCACACATAGAAAAGGACACAGGTGAGAAGAGACGGATAGGCCGATCGAGCGACCGGAGAAAAGTCGGTGGAAAAGAGGAAAGAGGTCTGGAACAGCGCGAGCAGCGGCAGTCAACGTCGTACAAAAATTTCCATATATTATCCCACATAAAATCTCACATTGCACGGTACGAGGGACATCCGATTACAAAGAAAAACGTATATCTTGCATTTTGCACGCGTGTCGTGATACAACATCGTGGTTCGATTGGTGCTTGGTCGATAGAGCGGAGGCCGATAGAACGATTTAAGCGACCTGGATTTGTATTCTTGGCATCTCGCAACTGAACTCGAGTCGGTGAAAAACTTCATTCTCTTTCCTCGCCATTCTCTTTTTCCCTATGTGTCTTCCATATGCTAAATTTTTGCATAAAGCCATCGTAATTACATTAATTTGCAAACGGATCTCGTGACAGAAGCCAATGCGCTTTTATTTGTCACGGTCGAGCTGAGGTAATTTTTGCACGGACACGAAAGCAATCGCCATACGGAGTATCATTACCGGACGTTGATCGGACGACTCATGAGAGAATCCTTGAACCACATTGCGGTACACTAATAGCTTACCGAGCACCGTAATCCTGCATTTACCGAACACTCGGAACGCTTCAACAAAATAAAAAAAAAAAAAATTTCTTTTCTTTCTTAGTAAAATACAAGATATGCAAGAAAGAAGAAAAAAGAAATGTAAGAAAAAATCGACCTTAATTTATCACAAAAATCTGTCCGTAAATTAGAAATATGCTGCAGAAATATTATAAGCATATAACTTCGATAATGAAATAATAAATAACAGATTCAGAGAAGCAGAACATAATTTTTATCATGTTTCATGGGATAATATTGCGCGAAATGCGCTGATTTCGAGGATCATGAGAGTCCTAAAAATGAAAGGTTCACGAGGCATTCGAGCAGAATGGAGGTGATATGAAATACTGCGCATCGTGTACCGTAATCGGCGCTAGGATATATATCAGTGGTCTCATCTTCGATCCAAGAGTCAACCTCGACGAATTCGGCGACGAAGCTCGGTATGTGACACTTGATAATTGCAGCGTTCCCCCGAAGGACATGTTCGTCCATCACGTTCACTGCATACCGCTGCCCGACAACTGCAACCAGACACCGGTTTCCGGCTTTACCATAAGACGCACATCTCCCACCTAGCAGAACGTGCCGATCGTTCGTCGATTTATCACGATTGTAAATGGAAATGAGAAATGAATTTAAATGCAGTTACAAAAATTTTTTATAACAATTATTAAAAATTTATGGAATTAATGAATGATTAATTAATGATTGAATATTCGTACGTGTATTTTTGTGATATTTGTAATTTTTTTTTATCATATTAGTTTACGTAAATTTTATGCCAAGTATATCTTGTTTCGGAAAACTTAATTCCTGTTCCAGTTTATTACCTAATTTTCCGGTATAATAAATTCATAAGCTGCGTAGGAAAAACTGATTAAAGGAGTATATATTACAGTATATTAAAAATTAAAGCCGGAAAGTATAACTTGATAGACAAAGTACATGCTTTAACGAGTCTAATTTGAATGTCTATGGCATAGACTGTGCAGTGCACAGTGCCGGAGATAAAACATTTCATATTACTCTACGCCAATTTATGCCAAGAAATAAAGTTTCAGTAATATGTTATTTAAAACTGACTTGCTTGAATTAATCGCAAAGATATTTTACTGTTATATTATCTTGTAAACTTTTTTCTGTTTTACGTTAAAAATAGATGTTCGACGAAACGATCCAGACACTATTCTCTTACATGATCTCATCACTAGGTTTTTCAAAGTCTCAATAAATTCTACTCAACGAGACGAGCGCGTATCATAATCAGAGATTCTATTCACGTCATCGTCATGTCTCTATATTAAAATAAACTTTACTGTCACGGCGGCTAAAGAATACGTTCCTGTATTCGTCAAAGAGAACTGGTCGCTCGACCGGTCTTGAAATAGGCACGATCAATATTCAACATTACGATTCGTTACATACATTCAATAAACAAGTAGCGCACAGGTGTGCATTGCAATGATATGCGCGCAAATGATATCTATTCGCATTGCGTGCACTTTTTACACGTTTTGCACGCTTGAACATGATGTGTAGCAAGGTGAAAATGTAGAAAGTACATGCGAGATATCGAATAACTCGATAATCGAGCCAGTTCTCGTGTATTGTGGTCCGCGCCTCTTCTAAACAGGACCTGTGTCCTTTCAGTTTGCAAGGTCGAATACGGTGTAGCGTGCATCCTATCACTTTTGACTACCGTATGATTGTCCGTCGGCGACGTAACTGCCGCCGTTGGAATCGATCCATCCCACCACGTCCACGTGGTCGGCCACGAACGAGGGAACTTGACACTTGAAAATGGCCGCGTTGCCGCGTATCGCGAACTGATCGTAAACCTGAACCTCAAAGTACTGGGCGACCACTGCAATGAAGCGGGAAAAAACAAAAGCTTGGCGTTTGTCCTAGCTGCGAGTGTCGGCGCGCCGGTGCGCTTTGATCGCGCTGATTAAAATTTCAATGAACCTGGACGTCGGCAAACTGACTGCTGCAGCCAGTTTCCAGTCGTGCTTCTATCGAACGCAGCACAAATTCCGATGCACATGGACATCGATCCGATTAATCCGACTTAATTTAATTGTAAATTACACTAGTGAGCAAACTCACGCTTTCGTCATCTAATTTAACATCGATTTATCCGTGAATAATCGCTCGAGTCGCGCGTCAAAAAAAAATCGGTATGAAAAACCATCTAATAAATCATGTTTTGTAATAATAATTGAAATAATATTTCTCTCTCTCCCTCTCTCGTTAAAACAATCACAATCAAGCCTGAAAAATTATAACTCCTCAATTTCTTTTCTCATCTTGCAAATTTTAATTTTTGAAAGATTAATTAATGCTGGTTTTCATATATGCTTCTAGTTTTGAACTATAGCGTCATTCCATAAAATGCGAAATACTAATGAAATGAGATATGTTCACGCAAAAACATCATTACAACAATGAAATTTAATACATTAGTTCCCGCCATTTGTCTGATTAATTAATATTGCAATGCCTTCGCAGGCGTCAATTGCCGCAGCCGTAAAGTAAATTCGATTTAGTCACAGAAATAACCCTTTAACAATCTTCTCTCTTCACCGAAAGTGGATCAAGCTTGGTCGCGCGAGCGTTAATTCGCTTCTCGGCCCGATTAATTCGACTTAATCTAATCTGGGGATCACGTCAAACGAGGCCACTGTCAGCCGCGTGCTCTGCCTCTATCCACCTTTGCCGATCGCCGAATCGGAAAGGACAAACTTTTCAGGCAAAACCCCGCGTTCCACTCCATCGACCCCCACCCTTCTTTCTGAGGATGCGCGTCCTGCCGAACAACGCGACCATGTGCATCGCATATGCACGAATGAGCCGTCTCTGCCCATCTGGGACGAGCAGGTCGTGCAAATTTAATTTGCAAAATGCTCCGTCAAAAATAAAATCTTGAAAAGCTTCAAGGACATAGAAAAATGTGTTGCAGAGAAAAGATTCCTCTGGAAAAGAGCTAATTTGCAAGTAAAATTGCTACAAGAACTAATTTATATTTACACAAAACGAAATTGTGTAGGAAAATTAAAATAATCGTTTAATTATTTCGTTTGAGGATTTCGTGCAACCGACACAACGCTAATTGTAAGTACCCTTCTCTTGCTGGCTATTCGTGTTATACATGGAACCATCGTCAGCCACCCATTCAATCACATCTACAAAAATCCGCCACAAAGCTCGGCACGAGGCACTTCAGGGTTGCCGTATTTCCGCGTAAGACGAACTCATCGATGACCCTCGTCTCGTAGAATTGCTGGACCACTGCAACGCGCGATTCCCCAGAAGAAATTATAATGTACAACTGTTGTCATGCTGCATTTGTCTGCGCTACTCGAACTAAGAGACGATTAAAAGTATATCGTGTTTTCCACCGCTAAGACTGTCAACGCTTTTAGACTCGTTTTTAAAAGATCGACTTCTCAGACATTTATCTCCTAACAATTCATATAGACGTTTATCAGCGCACAATTCTTTCTCGTTTACATGATTATATCAGACTGGAGGAAATCCGAAAGTAAAAGTTCAACCGCGGGTTGCAGCCGACAGTTGTCGGAAAGCGGCGAACAAGAAGAAAGTGCGAGAATTCGTTTGAGGGAGGGAAATGAGAATGCGGGGAAAGAAGTGAATACAGAAGCTGTCTCGCGGACAACAACGTATACTACGTGGGCATCGACCGGCGTCATACCGTACTCCTCCTCTCCGGGCGTGTAAATCGTCCCGTCGTCGGCCACCCACTGATCCACGTAGACAAACTCAGACACGAAACTCGGTATTTTGCATTTCATGATCGCGCTGTTAGCCCGGATCACGTACTCGTTCTCGGCCTCGGTGACATAAAACTGCGAAACGACTGCCGGTGCGGGCAACGTGTTAACTCTCGTATGATGAAAAATAAACTGCTGCCGTTTCTTACGAGTTAGATAACTTGATTACGCTCCTAGTTGGTAAATTAATTTATATCACTTTGTACAAAATAAAAACGGTGAAAACGAATTAGACCGAACGGATCGGCGGATAATAAAATGTATCCTGCGAAATCTCATAAAAGGATTGTGAGAGAAGAAGTGGATATGTTATATTTCGGTTAGCAACGTTAGTAGACACAAGCGACGTATGCTTTCCACAGCAAATTTGCATAGGATTAGATTGCAAAGACAAAGTTGACAAATTTAATACAACAATCTCTATATAGAACTAACTTTTTCAAAAATCTAGAAAATTTAATGTAAATTTTCTTAACTTTCAAATTAACTTTTTTCATTCTTTTTAAGAGTTAAATTATGTATTAAAGCACCAAATCCTTGAACTATTTACTTCCGTCATCTTTTTTTGCTAAAGTGAATACTACGAAAAACTAATTTATAAAGAAATTAATACACGACATCCTAATCCGGATACAAATTTTCAGTGAAGTGTCTAAAATAATTGAAAACGGCCAAGGATATCTATAGTACCCTGCCCGAGCGCAGGATCCTCCTGAAGGTAGACCTCTCCATCTTCGCGAATCCACGCCTCGACAGTAACAAATTCTGCGATATAACTGGGGATGCTGCATTTTAAGATCGCACTGTTTCCTCTTATAACGTATTCGGTCAAGATCTCCGGATTGTAAGGTTGAGTGACGACTATATGGGAGGCACAGATTAAAATAAATGAATGTTCAATCAAAAGACTAAAGAATATCTCATATCTCATGTTGTTTAAAAATAGCCCGTATCGTGCATGTATGCAGAACAAAGAATATCCACTGTTCTTAATTTATCATATTATTTGAGGGTGGAAAAGATATTTGTGCCTTCCGCGAATGATTCATAAAGGAAGAAGATGTAATTTCGTCGCTCGCTTATAAACGAGTGCCGCGAGAAGATTCAATGTGTTTAAGGATATCACGACGTATGAATAAATTAAAAGCAAACATTTTTAGAAAAACCACAGAAGACGCTGTTTGCAATGCTCCATACTTTGATATCTTATAAATACTTCCGTTTACCTTTTATAAATGTGTACCTTTTTATATTGTGTTCAAAATAAGAACTTGAATAAAACGCGGTAATCTAAAATTAAACAACTTCAACAAAATGTTATTTTCTACCTTTCGTATTTTTTTACAAAGAATTGCAAAATATGCGTACTAAACTCTGACATTACGCCACAACGAAACAGCGAATTTTATTCCAGAACTTCTCTGCTCGGCTTCAGCCAAGCTCCCTGAAATGTTCCACGCTCGGCATGGATATGGGTATCGGCTTATTTTCTTAGGCCTGTCGTAATTCGCGGCGTGAGATCCACCGGATGGTTCATTAACCCTCACAAATGTATGTACTGCCGCCGCCGTTCAGCCGCCGTCAGACCAGATCGCGCGGCCGGCGGAAACGAATCGTTACCACGTGCCACTTTGAACTTTGACAAAGTTGGACGAGGGGACAGGGTGTCTGAGCAGCAGGGAGACAGGGTGATATGACCGGAAAGAGAATTTCCTCGCCCTACGTTCTCATCGTGTGTACTTATCGGCCGACGTGTTCATCATGGTCACCGTGCAAATTGCGCGACGTTTGCACAATTTGAATCAATCGAGGTGCACACAAACGATCTCACTTGACTTATACAAAGAGCAAATACCTAAAATTTCGTATATGTATATGCGGTATATATCCTCTTTCCAAATACATAAAACGGTTATCTTCATAAGTTTGGTTGAGATTGCGCGTCTTTCATGAAAACGTGCGTCTTTCGTGAAGTCTCGACATAAAAGAAGACCTTAAATATTATGAATACCATAAAAAGAGCTATCTTGAAAAGAAATAATTTTTTATTGAAGATGTATATACTATAGCCAATAACACTGCAAAAATCTCCAAATACTATTTCTGCTTTGTCTATAAAATTCTTACAAAATTATACAATTTTATACTTTGTTCATATTATTTTTAGCAAAAATAATAATAGAATAATATCCTTTACTTTATAAAATTAATAAAAGTGAATCATTGTCTAAAATTAAAAAAATTAAAAAAAGCAAAATATAAGAAAAAAAATATAAAACGTTTTTTCCAGCATATCACCCTTTTTAAGAGCAAGTTATCTCTGGGAGGAGTAATAAAAGAGCACACTGAATGTACAGAAACACGTGTACATGTTATACCATAATCAGTAGATGGCTTGAAAGTCGAGCCGTCGCTCCCCACCCACGATTCAACCGAAACAAATTCGGCGACGAAGCTCGGTATAGTGCATTTCAGAATAGCCGCATTTCCACGTATCACGTATTCCGATACAACTTCCGCCTCGTAATACTGAGTCACGACTATGGAAGATAATGATGTATTATAATGGCGTATTGTACAACTATTTATATCGCGCATCGTATGCTTTATAACATCGTGTTACGTTGCTGCGTGTTTAATCGAGAAGAATCACTTTTCTCGATTCAAAACATTCTTCCGCAACATTCTTCAATTATTATGACGTGCAAGCCATTGTAGGCTCGTAAAACAGCGCCTTGTCATGCACGTTGATTTAATCATTTTAAAGACATAAAATGTATTTCTTTGGAGAAAATCAGGCGATCAAAGAGATTGCAACCAGTTGCAGCCTAATAGCTAACATTATACAATTTCATCCTATTCTCCAGTATATAATTACGTAAACTGGTTCTCAGATAATAAGTAGAGACCTCGCGATTCGGATTATCTAAGAAATTACAGCAGTTATATAGTCTGAAATACTGCATTAAACATCCTAACACGCGTAAACGTTCTAGCCATTTAAATACAGCGACACGAATTTAAATGTTTCAAAAAAAAATTTTTAAATTGTTTAGATTTATCTCTCAACAAAAATCCGTAAAATACACGATATGTGAAAGAAACATCGCGCAGAACACGACATTAACGACGTTGACTCATAATTCGCTGCCCACGCGCGTTCCGACTTCCTAAATTTCCTAACAGTTTAGATTTGTACCGTTGTCCTGGTCTGGATCGAAAGAGTTTCCCTGATCGTCTTGCCAGCCAACGACCTGAACAAATTCCGCGACGAAGCTCGGTATGCTGCATTTAAGAATGGCAGCGTTACCGCGTATTACGTACTCGTTGTTGACTTCGGATTGATAATATTGATGCACCACTGCAATAAACGAATACGTGCAAGCTCTTTGTTTTCAGCGTAACGGCGCCCACTTGTGCCACTTTAATTTCCAATGACTGGAAATACATTTATCAAAATATTTTCACTCATTTTTGCCTTATGATTCATTGTTTGAAATTGCTCGGTCGAAATGCAATTTTGCAATGCGAGAATACATATTGATGAACGATTCGTTTGAATACACGATTTTTTTTATTTAAACCGAATAAAACCACGACGACGTTGACGGCAGCTTTAGGCGATATATTTCGCCACTTCTCTGCGAGCAGAATAATTCGCGTTGTTCCATCTTATGTTGCAATAGCCGACGAGCAGGTGTCACGATAGCAGACGATCGATTTACGTTCAACCCCGATATGTGCGTGTATATACGCATATGTACGTCTGGCTGATTGAAAAAATCAATACAACGCTTCAGATAAATTTTGAAGAATGTTTCTCACTTCAATAAAATTATGTTAAATTATATTTAATTGTGATCACGAAAAAAAAACAATTGCCTGATAATTGACGCGTTAAAATGTTTCACAGCTTTATAAGATATTGAATAATTAACGAAATTATACGTGACGCGTTGCGAAAAATTAATTCAAAACATCACAAAAATGCATCTATTATTACCTCAATTATCATGGTGATTAATTAATATTAATTTCCCGAATAGAAAAAAGAAATCAGACTAAAGGGAAATATTATTAAATAAACTGACACATTTAAAATACAAGCGGCGTGCCAGAAATGAATGCTGTACAACCGGATGGTTTAACTGGAAAGCAAGATAGCACATATCAGTCAAATATCCGATCGTTTCCGCTAACACGCTAGATATATTGAGCTGGGAATAACGTTTAACGAGACGAGTAACGACGCACACGTATATAAATGTATATACATGTTGGCCGTGGAAGTTGAAAGTGAGCGACCCATATACTTTCGCGTTGCACCGCTCCAAATGGATTTGCATTTCGCCACCGTGGCAATTGAGATCAATATACGAGAAGCGGCCGAGTCGCACGGATGGTGTTGGTTATTCAGCTGACCGACACGATGCATATGTGTCGGTCTGAATTGGAACTTATGAGGGAGCAATAATGACATTATTTCTTTTAATTATCTCTGTAAAGGGGTGAATAAATTTAAAAATTTTATCGATCAAATTTTGATGAGATTAAAAAGTACGAAAAAATTTAATTATATTTCTTTTGTACTTTTACACGATTTTTCGAAAGCACTTTTATGTATGTAATGGCACAATGTTAATGTTAAAATTAACTTTTATATTATTATTTTATATTATTGTATATTATTATAAGACTGCAGATCTTTTGAACAATTATAAAATTATAATGAGCAATAATCACGATTCAAGCTCAATATGACAAGGATCGCAAAGATGCAACGACGAAATTTTCTGCTCGCAAAGAAGTAAGGAGATCGATCGATTTTAGTTCATTGATTCAATGCTCTAACATAAGTAATACCAAAATCATCGCTGGGCACGAATTCTTCTCCCTGATCTGTGTGCCAGGACAGAACTTTGACAAAATCGGCGACGAAAGAAGGAACGACACACTTCAAAATGGCACTGTTCCCACGGATCGCATATTCCTTATTGACGTCGGTGTCATAATACTGCGCCACCACTATAATTTTGTACACATAAAGTAGCGTTCGCAGTGTATTGAGTTTCGTTTCGCTTCAGTCTCAATAGCTTCAAGAATCATCTCTCAAGTTTTTGAAATAAAAATAGTTCGCAGATATTTTTTTAAAACTAAATCCGTAATCAACATAAAAATATTCGAAAATTATCATACTTATAATTATATCGAATATCATAATTGCAAATATAATTTTAGTTAATAATTATTGTTACATATTTCTCTCAAAGATAATTTTAACAAAAAAAATTTACATGAATTAAATTGTATTTAATTGATGAAATAAGAATATCGGAAATTATATTGCGCTTTATAAAGCGATGTAACGTTAGGTCTAATGACGTCACTGCATGATTCAGAAGCGTATATTTTCAATCTCACAAGAAATATGATGACATCACGTAGAAATAAGATTACGATCGCGTAAAGAGTAATTTCCTGATAACTTGCGAGCAAATTGAGACTGGAAAGCGAATTGGATATACGTTCGCATAAACGGCGGCGGCAGAGATTGCAAACTATTTAAAGAAGCAACGATGTAGTTCTCCAATCGGATATTACATTGTTCGATTGACACCGATGTCTATTACCGAAATAAAATTCTTCCAAAATAAGAATAAATCGGAAGAAACGTACGAACGCATATGCTATGATTAGCAATGGCTGAAAAGAATATTCTTTAAATTTTCCTTATATGTTTAGCCATCTTATATTCAATTTGAATTATGACTTTGACTTTAAATGCTTATTAATTATTATTTGAATTAATGAAAAAATTGTACAAAGTTTTTAGTAAATATGTATATCTATGTAAAAACAATATTCAATTTAATATAACATTTCATAAAAAGAGTTTTTTTACATTATTTATATTTACTCGTTTCTAAGAGTTTAAAAAAAGTAATGAATGGAATTATTAAAAAGGCAATTTTATTTTATTTTTTGCATAGAATATTCCCAGAATCACCGACCTTAATTTTATATAATAACGATTTTTTTTTACCAAAAACAAATCAATTTTATAAATTCAGATTGACTTTATTTCTTCATAATTTTAATTGCAAGTTTAATTTCTTACCAAACACATTTACTTTACAACAATATTAAATATATAGAAAGTTAAAATGTTTTCAGAGATTAATTCCCAGATTCGTCAGAGATTTCATTAAAATAAAAAGGTGTTTCCGGGACATCCTCTATAAAATACTGTAGATGGCTAAACGATAAATGCTTAATGGACAAAATAAAGATTGACACTTACCAGCTCTCACGTTGACATCACGGCTGTGAACCGAACCCGCAGGGGAACGTGCCAAACAGCTGTAGACCTGAGCATGAACTTCCTGACGATAATCCTCGGCGCGGAAAGGAGGGAACACCAAATTTCCGTTCGGCAGAACCTGCGGCAGAGAGCAATAACCGTATGTAGAAATTAAACTAAATTCGCATAATAATCATACGCAATTACACAGGCTTGGAAAGAGTTAACGCGTCCTTCACGATTGCGTGAATGAATGTAGGAAGACATGGGTGTATTTAACGATTCCATTCAGATATTACGGAAAGGCAATTGATTTGATGATATTAGAACATTTATATGTGTTGGCTATTTAAAATTATAATTTATCATCCCACACATGGAAGAAAGAATTTATTTTTAATCAGTAAAAAGCTTGCTCGTTGCATTGAGAACATGAATAAAGATTAATGTATATTATGTAGCTTTAAAGTGCTCAATAAAATCGACCGTGGGTGGATGTTTTTGGTTATACTATTATATGTAAATAAGAGTGAAACAAAGAAATCATATTAAAGCTTAAACACCTGTCTCAGTCCGGGAACATCTCCTACGGCGGTTCCGTCGGCTCGCACCCAAATGATATCCGGTTGAGGATTTCCTCTCGCCTGGCATTCAACCACAGCTCCAGTTCCATTTGAGAAATCAACTCGGTTCGGAGGTTCCTTGACAAACACCGGTCCCATAGATTCATCTTCAGCCAAAACAACTGCAAACAAAATGCAAAGATTTCTCATATGAGTGCTTGTATATTGCAACTTATTTTAAGAGTAACATATACAATTCTGAAACATTATGAATTTTAATATCAATTCTAACAAGATTTCTGTATTTATGTATATCTCTTTCGAGATAATAACTTATTTGCGATTGATTTCAAAATAACATGCCACGACTTTCGATCTATCTTGTATAGATATAATCAGTTTTAATCCAAAAGCGGCAGAGTTTTAATCAGGAAAAATAAATGTTTTGTATAGAGAACGAAATGTGAGGGACACTTAACGGTTTACGGGAACATTAGCACGAAGTCAATTAATTTAAAGTGCCACGAGCGATGAGACCTTTTGTCTCGTGTCTTCGAGTTTCGCTTATCATTCGTTTCAACCAGGATATGCGACACCCACATTCAATTGGCGCGTTGCCAATTGCAGCAAACAACAGGTTGTCGAGTCTGTTATTGAATAATATGCGATCAGCGTCACGTGACCATAAGGGAGACAATGCGTGATTCCTTTTCCGTCGGGGAGAGTCGCGTTCTTCGTTCTACCGGTATTATTGATAGATAGCAAGAAAATTATTTTCCTCAATAATAAATCGCCCATTGATTGCAAATTAATTGCAAATGCAAATCAAACATTCTATATTTCATAAAAAACAAGAACAAAAATATTAAGTACTATGTTAAGCATGTTAAATATTACGTTATGCTTCCCAGGAAAACTGTACGATTATTTGTAATGTGGTATAAATACACAAAAATAGCGGTGCATAATTATACTTTATAATTTTGTGAGGTAAGAAAATATTAAGCATTTTCGTTTATCTGTCAAAATAAATAAAGCTTTATAGCTAAAGGACGACGCAAATGCTTATTAACACAAATCGCTGCAAAGAGAGTCTAAAATTTACATAGGAGTCTACCGTGCCACTTTCTTCGCACGTAACCACCTACTGATTCACCCACGACGACGGCTGTAGCGCAGCGAGAACAAATAAAGCTGGCGTAGTATAAAATCAAGTCACGAAGAACCGGTTGGCGAAGCGTGCGCCGTTGAAGCGAACAGCAGAGTACGCATGCAGGTATAAAGGACAGGTGTTCCGAATTTTTGTGGACGCTATTACTCGAATTTCAGTTTGCATTTCGTTTATCTTTGTTTTACACTTTTCTTGCAATCCATTTCATTCTCATTCCAATAATTGTAGCACAAACTTTTCTCGGGCAAAATTAAAAATTACCCGCGAAAATTCTATTCTATACATTTTTGACAAACAATCTCTCTCTTTTTTTCTCTCTCTTTAAATTTCGCAGTGTTCAGCTGTCGACGCTTAAAAATTATAATGGCGTCGAGCAGCAAAAAGGATAAAAGGATTAAATTAATACATGGGTGCTATAATGATTAACTGAGTGCATGCAAGCTTCAAGGATGATTACACATACATATATGTCTAAGGGTTGCGTTATTTATGTGTTTTGTGGCACGTGCACGGTAATATAATGGCTCGGAGTATTGTCATAGCTACGTGACGAGATGGAGCGTGTTGTACGAGCTTATATCAATTGTATGCCTCGTAAAATTTTTTTCCGAAATTAAACTCTCACACCTCCCCGATGAAAGACGAGATTCTTCCCGGTCGACAACCGCTCTGTAATCTATATATAGAGATAGCTTCGACGTCCGGACACGTTGCATCGAATATATTTCCAGCACTGTGACTCGCATGTGTGTTCATCCTCATTCGTGAATGTATGTACCGGAACATAAGACACATTGCCATGTGCATAATAATGGGAAATCTTTCGAAATCATTAAGTCGAAGAACGGCGATACGAATCGATTGAAGCACTCTTTCGATTATATTAAGTTTTACTTTAAATATATGTATATCTAGATCCAAACATATATTTTAATTTTGTTAGAACTAATAATTATATCGCAAGGTATCGTGTAGATTATCGATGTCATGTAGATTATCGTGTATCGATTATTTGTTTTAGTGTTCAATTATTTTCAATCAAATGAAAAATAGTATTAATTTTTAATTCTTTTTTTAATATATCCTAAAATCAATCAATCGTTGGCGTCTCTAAAATTAGAATTATTGAAAGTGTCTTCGTTAATAGCATGCATCATTGATTGCGAAGGTGTATATATCATAGAATTCTTGCGTAGGCTGAAAATGTCTGAGGAAATTCTTAAGCTTCGAATCTCTTCGAGCTTCTTTGATTTAATGTCGTCTATTTTTGAGACTTCCTGTTAGATACCGAAATACCGAATGCTTCTTCAAACATCGCTTTTTGAAACTAGCAAACAATATAACCAATTTTCTTTCACTATCGTTCAATAAACAATAAATTAAAATGAAAATATTTGTCTCCCACATTTTTAGCATTTATTGTATCAGCTTGCATTTAATAAATAAAAAATTATTTTATATATATTTTATTTTTTTTAATTTTTGATCAAAATTGAACTATTACGAACTGCGCTGCGTTTATGGTGATTAAATTAATAAAATCTTTAGGATTTTTTGAAATATTTTTGTCTCAAAGATTGAAGAAATGCTTCGAAAAAATATTCAAATTTTTTTATGCCACCTACACTTCGTATGTAGGTAAAGTTTCTTTGATGCAACACGCAAGTTCCGCATACAAGCGGATTCACCTGGTTGCAAGCATCCACGACCGACTGCAATTCTCTCCGAAGCATGATGTGAGCCTGCATTCTGGGAACAGCAGCTGTTCCTTTCCCTCTTATCTCCTCACCTCCTTCATCATAGTCTCCTCTCCGGCAGCTGCGCTTCATGATTCGTTGGTACCTACACTCAGGACCTTTCACGGTCTCAACTAACCGCCTGTTACGTTCAAAATACGCGGATACAAGATCACTCCCAAAAAAGCAGCAGCGCAGACCGTTATAGTGGTTATCATAAAGAGCAAGATCAAAAATCGTAGATTGAATGTTTAAAAATCGCGGTAACTCTAAATTACAATAATTATATTTTTGAAAAGCAAAATGACAATCTTTTATTGCTTTCTTATTGTATAAAAAAATATAATCTACAAAATTTAAAAACGATTGTTAGTGATAAGCAAAGAATATCTAATGTCCAGGATTATACACTCAAAGCACGTACCACAAACTGTCACGTCAGCTGACAAACATTACAGTTTGATACGCTAAGACGCAAGCTTTACAAGATATTGCGTGATCTATTCAAATGTATGCTAATTAAGCAACTTACGCTTGAGGAATTATGAATAATTCTAAAAAAAAAAACATAAAAAATTCTAATTCTAGAAAATATATCAAAGATTATTGCAATATTCAATGTGTGCAGTTTATTTTTAAAAACTGCGCATTTTTAATGCTCAACGAAACTTTGAATTATTCTGAAGCAAATTTTGATTACTCTCAATTTGTCATTTCACTTTTAAATCATATTCTGAGTATAATATCTCCAATTATATGTCACCTATAATATATTTGTATCAAAATATTATTGTTTTAAAAATGTATCTCATATTGATTGCATTTGCATCTTGTTGCAATACCCTTAACACATGAAAGTCGTGGCATGTCTCATCTACAAACACTTTTCCGTATACACAAATCGCATGACTGGCATCCATCAATGCTTTCTCGTAATTGTTGACGAGTCACGCTAACAAACGCGGTGTGAATGAGATCTTTTTTGTATGAAGTTGACTCACCGGTTGTCAATGCCAGGACAGCTAACAGGAGCATAGCGATGACATGGGTGGATGTCTTACACCCCCCGCCTGGTGGTTCTCGCCACATCCTTATCTCAACTCCTCTAAGCGCACTGATTTTCACCTGATTTCACATAAAATACACTAATTGAACGATATGTTGATTAAGACAATCGCCGATGATCTGCCTCGATGATATTTCAATAGTTATCATAGAAATGTTTTCTAAAAAATTCGCTATATTTAACTGTTAAGTTGATCGCTCGTAAATTTGGCAGATGAACGCGAAAGGACTCTCGCTTAGTTCAAGGTCGATTGGTTGTTAACTATTCGAGACGCAGCTGCGTGTGGCAGTTTAGCATGCATTAAAGAACTCTCGAATACTAATTTCTACTACTTCCAAAATGCATAAAATTATTAAATAAATTCACGTACACAGAAATATTATAATAGAATAATTTCTCTCTATATGGCAGAATTAAAATTGTATTTATTTGAGATATAAAGAGATCTGTATAGAACTATTCATTATTAATTATAGAATAATACCGAAAGAAAAAAATCTACTGATACATATAACAGATGCAAATAAATAACTTATATGATGCTAATAGAAGAAATTAATAAATTCTGCACAATAATAGTCCCAATAAATAATAAAATTTCAAGAATTTTGGAAGATTTTATTTCTTTGTGAATTATTTGTCAACAATATTATGTATTCCTTCATTTATTATATTTTGGTTGATGAATTAATTATATTTTGGTAAATAAATTAATTATACTTGATAAATTTCGAGAAAATGTTCTGACTTGAAAAATCACAAAATATTTCCTGCAATCTCCTGCTCTCTCTGCTCCACAAAAGCAAGTGATTAAAGTCGCGAGGAAAATTCTGAAAAGCTCAGAGCCTCTTTGGCGTCCGTTGGTTCGCGATAATCCGCGGAGCGCGAGAACGCTATCTTGTTGCGGAACGGAGTGGAAGTGCACGTGCTGAATCGCTGATAGCAAGGGTTACGCTTGAAGAACAGCGAGCGATCCGACAGGAGAGGCGAAAGCGGGGAAAACGCGATCGCGAGAGGGGATGAAGAAACGTAGAGGGAGAAGGGAGACAAAATGTGGCGGAGTTGAACGGCTCGTCACGGGGCTGCTCCCTCTCGGCGAGTTTATTGATCGCAGGGTGCGGAGCGGTTAAATCTACCCCTCGCAACGGTGCGCGCCATGCTGCCATCCGGTGCTCGAAGCTAGCCAGGCGGCCGCGATGGTGTTTGTGGACCTCCGCTAGATTCACACGACCTCCACACTACCCTCCGCAGAGATCCCATCGCACAGTCCGAAATTATTATCCATCTCGATATATCAAAGTATATCAACCCGTGCGTCTCTCGTGGAAGTCGATTGATCGGGTAATAATATTGAAACGTGACGCCAGCATCTAACGTCATATTGTCGTAACATCATTGAATTCGACTATATGTAGCAAACTACAAAACAATTAGAAAAAGAATCAGAAATAGATAATGGAAGATCCAGAAACTGAAGACTGCAATTGGTTCGTTACATAAAGATAATGTTTTGCGAGAAACTTCGAGAAACGACGAGTGTTCTCTGCGCGAAAAGATCAAGGATGATGAAAGAAAGAGTTAGACGCTGCGACAGTTTCATCATGACAAAAAAGATGAAATCTTATAGCCATATGAGAAACCGAGAAACGGGCAAAAAAGGGTCCGCGCAGACTCCCGTACAGACTCGCATGCCAGTTAAATCTTTCAAGCCTGAGAAAACGATTAACATAAAAACATGAAATAATTAACATAAAGTTTATGAAATCGTTGATCTTAATGACAGTTCGCTTTTTTTATAAACCGATCAACCGGTTGACTGTGTCAGAGGCTTCATCGAGGTCTAGCGACCATCGGCGATCGCGTCTTGCCGTATTCCCAGCTTCCGCTAGCAAAGGCCGATGGGGCATTTTTAAATCGCCCACAAATCGGCACACATAACACAATCACTGCCGATGCGTTCCACCACACATACGCACACAGGCACACAAGCACACACCCACGAGCGATTTCGCAAGATCGGCCGATATTTGCCGCTCGCTCGACTTATTCCGCCGCGTCGAGATCGGCGTTTTCTTCAAGAAATCGATCTTTCGCGATTCCGCGATATTCGATTTTACGTACCGACAATACTTTCGTGTGAATTTGCAGGAACACAGATGCACGCCGATCACACTAGTCGGAACGGAGAAACGAGCACTCCGAATCCGTGAACGACCGAGCGTAGAGTGCGGCGTCGTTTGCTTCGGAGCTGCGGCTGCTCCTCGGCTATCTCGAGGTCGGCGGCGGTGGAAGCAGCAGTGGGGATCGTCGGTGTGAACACTCATGTTATTCGGTAGGGTAGGGGATGCTTCGTTGACAGGGCCGTCTGGAAAATTTAACCCTTTGTTAGAAGAATTATAAAAATAAATAGAGATCTTTAAGACATCAAAGCATAAATTTAGCCTTGTTTTATAAAAATATAAAAGTTTTAAAAAGACAATAAACTCTGAATATTTACATTTATATCATTTAAATACATGTAACTCAAAATATAAATGTAGTGTATGAATTCTATAAACTTAAATGTATAATTCTGCAAGTCAAACATAATAAATACCTAATAGATAAATACATAAATAAATACATAATAAATACCTTTTATGTCTTCTTCTCTATTACTTTTCATAAAATTAATATAGCATAAAAATGCTTTCTTATTCTGTATATACATCTACTACATAATACACAATAATTAATTGTGTATTGGAACTTGTTAAACTTATTAACTCCTTAATTAAATCATGAATATGACAGCTCGCATTTGATACGTATATTTCGTTCAGGGTACTAAAAATCATCAACCGGCTCTGCTGGTTAGTCGACCTTTGTCGCACGCGGCGGAAACGGCCAATGGACCAAATATATATATGAGATATGTACGTGGATATGTGTGCGTGAACGCATCTTCGCAGAGATATTCGCGGAATGCTCGTAGACGCACTGCAACGCGCGATAAATGATTATCAGTGATCATAGAAAGTAATAGCTGATAAATAATAATAGTAATCAGAAAGAATGCGATAAATGTGGTCAACGAAATATTACGCGTAATGATTGCAAAATATGCAAAACAGAAAGAACCAGAAATGCTTCTGCTACAGTGTTCTTAATTTAGCGTTATCTCTTTATGCAATATTTGATAAACGAATCAAACTCCAACTTTATAAAACGTAACATTTTAGCGGGAAAAGATAAATACATAATAATGAAGGTATGCATTATTGAAACGTAAAATGAGAAAAAATAGATTACGTTAAAATATTTTGCAATGTGGATTTTATAAAACATTTTCTCACATTTCCTGCTTTTTTATGGAATTTGATTACTTTGATGTACATAATTATTTAATTACACGCATTCAACTCATATATTTCATATACTAATTATTCTAACCTATAAAAGATTAGATATTTTTGCTGTATGCGAATGTTAGATATATCGTAGCTAGCGGTAAAGTTTGTTGAAGAATTATATGATAAATGATATATAATATTTTACACAACGATACGTACCAAACCAATTATCAGTAGGTATATGTGACATAATGTTTTAAAGTAAAATCTACAATTGTCCGTTGATTTTTGTAGTTGATGCCGAATACTTCTTTTTTGCTGCTCGCGTTCTCAGCAATAAACCGCCAAAATGATCGTAACGAAGTTAGTCTTTTTTAAGGCAATGTGCGCACCCTAGTGCGGTTATTGTGCAACTCATGGTTACTTTGACAGTATTTACCGATGGTATAACAGATTTTAACGCTAGTTCTACGTGTCATATGAGTGTTAACTTTTCAGAAAAAGAGCTGTCAAAATGGTAAATAAAGAACAGGTGAAGAGAGACATAAAAGAACTGTGCAAAGATGATAAGTACTCGATTCTGCTTCCTACTTACAATGAAGTGGAGAACTTACCAATAATAACATGGCTTATTGTAAAATATATGGAAGAGAGGTAAGCTGCATCATAGCTGCATAACCTCAACAGAATCAATTCAGTATATTTAAAAAAAAAGATAAATAAACTTAAGCTGTGTAGCTGAAAAGAATCGTCAAGCGAAAATGTACAATATTACAGCGAGCTCGCCTATGAAATTATCATAGTAGACGATGGTTCTCCAGATGGGACTCTGGACATAGCTAAGCAATTGCAACGAGTTTACGGCGAGGATAAAATAATTTTAAAGCCCAGGGAAAAGAAGTTGGGATTGGGGACCGCTTATATGCACGGAATTAAATATGCAACTGGAAATTTTATCGTTATCATGGATGCTGATTTATCTCATCATGTACATGTTACATTAATTAATAAATTGAAGATTAATAATGACGAATGTTTTTCTAAAAAGAATTTTTACTTTTCAGCCCAAGTTTATTCCAAAAATGGCCGAGTTACAACGATATCTCAGCTTAGATATAGTTAGCGGTACAAGGTATGCGCAAGGTGGTGGCGTCTATGGTTGGGATTTCAAGAGGAAGTTAATCAGTAGAAGTGCAAATTTTCTAACTCAGATCTTGTTAAGACCTCGTGCAAGCGACTTAACTGGTAGCTTTAGGTAGTAAACCTGTCAAAGATTTATCTCTGATTTGATAAGATTATTATAAGATAAAATTCTAACATTTTAATCTGTTTTTGGATTTTATAATTTTAGGCTTTATAAAAAAGACGTCCTGGAAAAATTGATACAATCTTGTGTATCAAAAGGATATGTATTCCAAATGGAAATAATAGTCAGGGCTAGGCAACTTAATTACACAATAGGAGAAGTACCAATAACATTTGTTGACAGAGTCTATGGTCAGTCCAAATTGGGTGGTTCAGAGATCTCCCAATTTGCAAAAGGCCTTTTGTATCTTTTTGCTACTACGTAACTGAACATTCCTTTAGAAGAAGAGAAATCCTAATCCTATCAAGTCTCCTTCCTGGCCAAACATTCGCATTTTGTACTACTTGTGAGACCAATTTATATGAATATATGTTGAGAAAAAAAGTTGTAAGTAGTTGATACATTTTTCTCTAATTAAGTTAATAAAATGTTTATAAATTGCTACTTATATTTCTAAACTCGGAGTGTTATAATATTCATCGTATATTTCTGTTAATATTTGCGCACAGGTTGCTGCATTTTAGATATTTCTATCACGCGAAAAGTTTTGTGCGAAAATGATCAAAGTTTCTTGAAGGTAACACGTGCGTTTACACGTGGTTGCGAACGATGAAAAGGAGCGTGCGTACATAACGATTCTCGTGGGCTCGTCCACCCTCGCCGCGCCCTCTGACGTCACGCAGCTTCCATTTATTGATCCATTACGAAATTACAGTCTATATTTCAACTTAAGCAGACTCGAGTAGAATACAAGACGCAATTAATTCTAAAATCAACGTGAAAAAAAAACAAACACGGTATATCCGTCATGGAGATGATATCTCGGTGATTCTAGAATATATTTCCAATTTTCTCAATTCATATGACTAGTGAAGAATTAAAAACTATTTTTAGTTGTAAATTATTTTTTTGCGAAAACTAAAATTTCAAAGTACAGATAATTACAAATTTAATAGAAAAAAAATTTAAAGAACATGCAAAGCCAGATTTTTTTATGACAGAAGAAAATGGATTTTTATTAAAACTCTGATTTCTGATTCAATTTAAAATCTTCATTTAACGTAGTAACATTGTACCGTCTCTTTGATATCTACATTGCATTTAAAACAACGTGTGCAATAGCATTGCACATCTGCGAATATACGCATGCCTTTTCACAGGAAAATCCTTCAACCCCTCAGCGGAGGCAGAGACGGTTCTAGCACGAAGCAGTTCTGTCGCAAGCTTCGCCGCGGCCGGACGTACAAGTGGGGTGGCATGCGCGCCGGGGTGAAACTTGCAAGCTCCCCCTTTATCGAGCTTGCAGATGGCTGTGCCTTTTAGATTTTGACGTGTCTCTCCGTTCCTCCCCGTTCGTTCGTTTGTGCGCTTCGCGTGATATAACATTTCGGTCGTTTGCTACTCATCAATTGCTACTTCCCGACGATCAACACCCTTCAACATGCCCAAGAAAGTCGGATTTAACGTCGTTTACGCCACGAGTAAGGCAGCTAAACTCGGATTTGTAAAATAAGACGTAGACTAACCTCGGGCGATGACCGGAAACGCGCCGAGAGTTTCATGTATCTAAATTTCACTCGTGACAAAATTAAGTGGATATAATAGTTTTAAAAAATGCTACCTGACTACCTTTATAGTTCAAATAGCGCAGCGATTTTTCTTCAATGAGCATAATAATACGATAGTAATTTGTGGTTGATCTCACAAAGAGTTATGTTAAATAATTAAAATTAATCAAAATTTTTGATCTAATATTTACACGAGATCACATTTTAAATAAAATTACAGAAATTTTCCAAATTTTCTGTAATTTTGTTATGTTGTTATGTTGTGAAACTCATCCTTTAGACTTGGGTTCGCATGGCTCTCAGCGCTTCAATTATTTTGTCGGTCCATCGGAATTTCCGCCTCTCTCATTGCCTATTCGAATTTTCGATACATTGATTTTTTCCGCGGGATACGACGTGATTTTTTCAATTTGCGATAAAGCATCTGCCGCGTGTACCTGACCAGCACAAGCAATGATTTATGTTATACCGCGGAATTCTACTTTTACATTTTGAAAAATAGATTGTCGATGTTATATTTGTCAGTGCGGCATACGCGGTAAAGAACAACCGTAGTATATACATTCTATTAAATATGTAGACATAAATCTCGTACGAGGTAACGGCATTGCGTGACTATGTTACGTTACTTCTCTTAAAAGGCGTATTTTGAAATTCCAAATAGCATAAATGATTAGCATTACTGACTTTTTTTTATGAGAACAGGGAATCGTAAATGTCGACAATGCGAATGAAAATAGACAGTTACAATAAAAAAAAAACACTCAAGAAAATATCTAAGTACTATATAGTATGTAATATCCAGTACCATGCAACCATGTGTCAATAATTAAGTAATGTATAGTAAGAAGTCTCGTCGAGCACGCTCGATCGACATTCGGCTCTCGATTGACATTTTGACTGATATACTCGTTAATATTTGAAGTGTTTATATAATAACTACATTGTGTGATTATTAATCCTTGTTAATTTACAATTAAACTTTTTTACTAATAAGAAAGACAATAACATTATTCTAAGGCAATTTTGTGGTTGCATTTAACTTATATATAGACATAGTATTCAATAAAAATATATTTAAATTACTTAAAAAATTTGATTTTTGTATTTTGAATTTGTTATTAAGGCGAGGAGGACAGACACTCATCATTAGAGCTTAACATTCACGGGCCAACAGTAAGAGGTTGGCAAAGTGCAAGAAATTGCACATATCCTCAGGAACTGATCTTACGTCTTCACGGACCGACTAAGCTTACAAGGATACAAGTCCTGGCTCATCAGTACCTCATACGTAAGTGCGCAATTTATAAAGCCATTAATTAAGTAAAGTTATATATAATTGAAAAATAGAACTGAAATTTTATGTTTGCAAAAATATTTGTTAATTTTTCATTCTAAACTGTTTAACATATAAAATTCTGAAACTAATTTTCATATTAATAAGTTTCAACTGATCACTATACTTAGAGAATTACAAATATAACGTAAATAATTATCAAGATAGAAATATAATTAAAGAGAAATTGGTTTTCTTTCGACGCGATTAAAGTCTCCATTGTTTGTTAAATGACGTGCCGGCTAAAAAGCAATTTGCCGACAATAGAAATCGAGTTAACGAGCCTACTGCCATGATTTCCCGAGGCTACATTCTCTATTCCTTTTTAGCTCGCTTCTTGCGCTTGCAATGCGGAAATGAAAACGTACCGGCACGGCAAGAGAAATATGCCAGTTTTTCGATTACGGCCGGATGGAAATTATTGATGCAATTTCCGCGGAGAAATATGAAATGTGACCTCTATTTTGGTTGCAGCCGAGAAACTGGAGATCTGGACATCGAGGGAGGAAAACGCATCCGCTTCGACGGATTTCAGTTACCTGGGTTACATCACGCTGTCCGACAACGCGTCGACTCTTTACAAGAGCAGAGAGTTGAAGAGCGTGGCCCTTCCAGAGACGGAAGCATTGTCACTGAAGCTCAGGCTACATAAACCGCACAGTAATGCGCACAATACCTACTGTCAGGTACATACGAGCCACTAATATTTCTTTCCATAATAAAAATCAGAAATAAATAAAATAATACCTGATAAAATAAAGTGATAATTTTATTAGAAAAATAATTTTGAAATCAATAAACAACACAATAAATTTATTTAAATTCTGAGTCTAAAAATTCTATTTCTACAGGTTGGCCTTATCGCCATAAATATACTTGGCGAGCCTTATGGCCAGGAATTAACTGGACAAGGGGATGCTCCGTACAATCCGCATTATATCTCGCCTTACGACGATTTGGCGTTCGAAATGTACGTCGACCGGGAAGTGGCCAAAATCATAAGACAAATGGAAGCGAAGAAATTGCTGGCGGTGGAAGAAGAGAGATTCGAATACGCTTCGAAATTGAAAGTGGCAATGGAGAATCTAAGAAAAGCGGGCGAGCGTCTGGGCAAATACGAGTTGGAGAAAAAGTACGCCATAGCTTTGGAGGACTACGACAAAGCCAAGGCTAAAAAGGCTCAAGCTCAACAGTACCGACAGCAGGTTTATCAGTCATTAGAAATATACAATCTGCTCGAAGTTCACGGGGTGAGTAACGTTTCATAACTCCTTTGAAATTTCTCTCATTGTCCCTCAAACTCGGTAATAATAATTGGTTAATGACGTAGCCTGTAGAAAAGAATAATTTGTCCTCTGCCGACGACAAGGAGCCAACATCGACGGACACAGCGGCGTTAACCGACGACGTCACATCTCCCCCGAGATTAGTCGTCCCACCTAATCGCGACGGTGCTTTGTCACCCACCGGGCCCGCACATCAACCACCCGTGTCACCGTTGCGTCAAAAAACGAATAGTCCTGGTATAACTAATTAAAGACTATTAAAATATTCGCGATTTTTTACGCGATTTAGATTTATAGAATTTTTAGTTTACATAACACTAATTTTTTTCGTGTTGGTTCAGAAGTAACCGGAAGCCCTACGAATGGTGTCCTTGAGAAGCAGAGCAATTGTAACAAAGGATCTCTAAGGAGAAAAACTAAATCAGCAGGTCCGGCTCTTCGCTCAAGTTACGAAGCTTACGAGGAAAGAACCATTCCCGCTCTAAGGCAGTAAGACAATATATCGTTAAAACATTGTGACAACAATTTAACACGATGTGTAAACTTTCAACGTAAATTTGCAGCTCGCACACGAACGAATTCACGAGAGAGTGTCACTTGGATAGCGCAGAGACAAAAGTCACCTCGAAACTTAACGATAGAGAGAAAAAACAAGCTGCATTGCCTATCGCGGTCTTCGGAATGGAAATGGTAATGACGTGAAACTTATTTCTCACAATCTCTGAGCACAGACGATAACAATGATTACATGCAGGTGGAGAAGTTCTATTCGAAACAGTTCACGGACAAGGAGGAGGGACTATTGCAATTGAAAGAAGAGCTAAAGACGTTCGATCCGCAAGTGTCTAAGCATTCTCCAAATAAAACAGCTAGGGCCGCGATTCTATTGTTACATAGAGCTCTTAGGGACAAGGTCTTTAGCGTATACAGTTTGGCTGCGCAATTAATCAGGATTTTCTTCGCCGAGTTCGCCGCGGATAGGTGAATTCTTTTTCTTTCGAAGAATGTATAAACATTATGATTCCCCATTGAAATTTAACTTCCAATTAAATCGATCATTTATCAACCGTAGAGTATCTTCGACGGAGATCGCCAGAAGCGTCGAACGCTTGCTGCCGGAGCTTCTGACGAAGTCCGGAGATACCACGCCGAGGATACATAATATGGCAGTGCATACAATCCTCAGCATGGCGGACTGCAAATGCGTGCGGGAATTGCATATAATACCGGTGCACCTAACCAGACCTGTTAACAGTAGCACGCATCAGCGGTTAGCACTGAGCAGGCTGGAAATGGTGGAGCAACTGATACTGAGCCACGGTATATCCACGGAAAAACAGAGGTGATTCTGAAAAAAATTCTTAGCACGCTCGAGCATGACGCATGAGAATTACCAGACATTTTGAGGAATCTCAGACCTCTGCCGTCGAAGCGTAGTTTCCCATCCTATTGATTAGCAGAGACCCTTTCCCTATATCGACCCTGTGAACATTGTTATTTTGATTCTTGGAACGTTTGCATAATGCATGAGATTTACCAGACATTTTGAGGAATCTCTTTGCCGTCGAAGCGCAATCCTTTTGACGCCCATCCTATCGATCAGCAGAGGTCTTGCCTCAAGATCGACCCTGTATTATCTAAATGCAATTACTCTGATAAGGTATTGTAACTGTTGTAGCGGGTTGACCTGTCGGACGTTATCCGAATTAGGTTCCTCCGGTCTGCACCACCCGGCTGAAGCGGTGCGAAAAGTCTCCGAGAGAATTCTCGTGTTGGTGTACAAAGTCAATCCTAGACTGGTGCGAAAGCAATTGCCGCCCGATGACGATATAACGCGGCGGAATCTACTATATCGTCAACTTTTCCATGAATTTGATCTAATCGATCTTCAGGTACGCAACACTTTGATGCAAAATCAAGATTGTGAATTTATGTATGCGAATGATTTGCAGAGAAAAAAGGAAGCCGAATCCACCCATAAAGCAACAACGACGCCTACGCGAAATAAATCTACAGAAAATAATGTAGCTAGTTTAACCAAGTCACCCTCGAGATCGAGTCCGGTCGTCAGTACCGGAAGTTCAACGAGTATCACGTCTCCGTCCGAGAACAGTACCGATCACAAAGGGGAGAAGTACGTATACAGCAAGTCAATTTTATTCGTTGGAAAGAATATGGAACTGTTTTGACGTCTGTTTCGTTTAGAATGTGCATATTTTGCCTGTCGAAGGGTCAGGTGTACTCTGAAGAAGGTCTGAACATACATTATTGGAGATCTTGTCCTATGTTAACGAAGTGCGAAGCGTGCAAACAAGTTGTAGAAATTTCTTATTTAAATTTACATTTATTAAGTAAGTATAAACCGATTTAATATGCTTTTAGTTTATATCTTAAAATATTCCGCAAACAAAATGATAGAGAAACAATGATATTATGTGCTAGATTTAATCAATGCTTTTCACAGATGAATGCGATATGAGGAGCAATTATGTGAAGTGCGAAACGTGCAAACAAGCGATGCATGAAAGTGCGTTCGAAAACCATACAAGACAAGACAAGAAATGCACAAGTATGTAGCTTTACTATTGTAACACTCTATTTATGATACGATCATTACTAATATTAGGAATCATACACAAACAATATATATTTTGATTTTTTGTTTAGAACCTATAGAGGGATATGAACGCTGTCCTCTTTGTTCGGCTTTAGTCAATCAAAATAAATGGAGGGAACATCTAATGGGAGAACACCCCTGTGTAAATAATCCACGCAGCAAAATGGGGAAAAGCTGTAAGTCTCAATAAAAGATTGATTGAATTCAGAATCGTAATTTTTCAATTTAAAATTATTTTTCTATAAAAGTTTTTAAGAGTATAAAAAAATAGCAGTCGAATAGATTGTTTTATAATTTTAGCAAAATGCAATAATTTTTATACGACTTTAGGTTCAAAATCGCCGTCGAATTCGCAAAATCTCAGTGGCAAATTAACATCACCGACGGGTAGAGATTACTAGCATCAGGCATCGACTTCGAAGCCAACAGAAGAATTCGACGAGTCTTAGGAGGATTTTGATTTGATTTATTTTATAGTTTATGTATATGTTACTAGCGTTTTTCATGTTTGTACCTATATTTAAATGGTTTTTATAGCAAAACCCGTCCTTTATTCATAGCGATCCATAATGAGCGAATTTTTAATCGTAGAGACTAGAAATCCAGACATTTAAAAATTTAGATGACACGCTTATATCAAGCGAGTTTGCGAAATCATATGGGAGATATTGGAGATATTAGGAATTGTTAACAGGTTCCACTCTTTCTATGGTTATTGCATGATGCCCAGGACATTTGCAGGGATGTATTAATTATTAAAGGTAGTGATATCAGATGTTATGAAAACATCATTTCAGGATTAATGATTCCTTTGCATCCGGCCATATTTATAATAAAAATTTGTACTATATACTATACATCACACGATTATGACGAAAATATGTCAAATAAATATTAGGGAATGGAAAGCTCTTTTTCGCTCAAACGACGTTAGATAACGCATGTAATTTCATAAAACACTTCATAGATCAGTAAAAATAATCATTTTATCATGATATCATTGTCGATGTTTTTATCCTACAAAATCATATTTTTCAATTCATACCACAAATTACTCCGATGTCAATGCTGGATTATCACTGAATCGAATAAGAATATTCTTGTTAAATAAAAAATATAAATATAAATTTTACTTAACTGTAACGCACAGCGAAACGTGTAAAAAATTAAGACGAGTCTTAATTATGTCACAAAAAGCGATTCACTCGTTTCGATCGGCATCTCTGCACCGTCGACTTTCTCTGTGCAATCGCCGTTCTCCATTGCAGCATTTTCATTAATTAAATTTTCACGTTTGATGTCACCATTGTTAATATCTTCGGCTAATGCGGCTGCGCGATTTTCCTCGAATTTGTTCCTCTCTGTAAAATTATGTAATATGTAAATAACCGTATTATTTCGATATGATACTGTATGATATTTCAACATACCAAATTTAGAACAATCCGCTCCTAAAAGCCGTAAGTAGTGAATCGCATCACAAGTAGTCACGTATGCTCTAAGAGACATTATTCCTCTCCAGCCTACCAGTTGGAGATTTAGCTGGTTTAAATTGTCAGTCTTCTCTTCTTTATATAACAATATACAACTTCCAGTCGCTTAAATGAAATATATTTTTCAAGTAATATTTATGTGTATTATCGTATAAGAGAAAAAAAGAACAAAATTCTGTTATTTTTACCAAAATCTTTGAGACGTTCCTGAGTGTCTGGATTTAATTTTACAATTTCAGGCGGTGTATGTGGATCGTTATTTTGTAAAAGCATTATTAAATCTTCTTTCGTGACCTGAAGCTTTCTGTTGTCACTTATATAATGAATGATACTCTGCATCCCTTCTTGAGCAAGTCTGAAGGCGCAACTCATATTTTTATTGTCACATCGTACGAATGTTTTAACGCCAGTATTAATCATTTTGACTCTATTCTCGTTAGACATTACTATATCACGGATTGCCGGTGACGTAAAGTAAATATTTTTCTTCTTTCCTTCGTGACATCTTACCAACAAACATTGTGGATTCAAATCATCAGATATACCGTAAAAATTTCTAAAAACATATTAAATAATATGAAAGAGGTAATTATATATTAAACAGTAAAAAAAAAAAATTGAACTTACTTAATAGACTGCCATACATCTTCTGTTTCATCCTTGAAAAAGACGAACGGATCTTCCCTATAGCCAACAATCTTTCTCCGCTTCCTTTGTAACTCCCGCGACTTTTTTTCTTCTTCTAATGTCCTTTTTCCACTTTCTAAACGTTTTTCGTCTCGTGAAGCTTCTTCTTCAAGACTGACTTCATTCTTGTTTCCATTGTCACCCAAATTCTGGACATTTTGACTTAAAGTACAAGTTTTATTTTCCCACGGCAAGGGTGCTATTTTCTCCAATATGGCCACAAAGAAGCCTCCAGTATCTTGATGATGTGGTAATATTCTCATGCTACATAATTGGTGAAATAAGAGTGTAATATAAAGAAGTGTAATATGATTGGCGTTCCTCCTATAATTTATTCGATATTTACCAACGTTCAAGATGAAACCTGGAAACCTCATCTGCTTGTGGAGGGAACATTTTTGGTCGTACTTGCGTCTGCCATTGTTCTGGAACATCGTCCCAGGTATCATAATATTGTAAATTTTTAGATGCCGGTTTCCAATGCGTGACACCTGATTGCAAAATGTATTACTATTTAGAATATTTTTATATCTTTTGTACAAATATTTGACGTATTTATCTGCCAGAACTAACCAGAATCGCATATTAATCCTGGTACTAAATCTCTACAATCAACTAATTGTACCGAGTCTCCAGTTTCACAAAGAAGCCTATGAAGTACTGCTTCATTTTCAATCGGATTTAAAGAACATGTAGAATATACCATTCTTCCTCCAACTGCTAACAATTCCAACCCACGTTTTGCTATTCTGTACTGAATTCTTTAGAAGATAAAGATTAATATTCTGTATACATAAATTTATAAAAAATTATATATAAATTTATACATACCCATGGAGATTATTGCCATTAGCAGGACTCCACTTGCACCATATATCTGGATTCTTTCGCATAGTACCATCACCACTACATGGAACATCCGCAAGTATTCTATCAAATCTACCAAAAGATGAAATATTTACATGAAAGTTCTTGACACATGAAAATAATCAAACATATAAAATTTGAATGACATACTTTAATGTGTCCTTAGTGCCATCTGGTTTTGTGATTATAAAATTAGGCATAACTGATGAATCATGGTTTGTAATAAGAATGTTTGGGCTGTTTAATCTTTTAGCTTGATGCACAAGCATGTAGCAACGATTATTGTCAAGATCGTTAGCTATTACAAAACCCTCTAAAATTATAATTAAATATTAATACTTGCGTTGCGCTCATTTCTTTTAGCACAAGTTAGTATAAATTACCAGGAGGAACATTTCCTTCGTCTGCGTGTATCATTTCTATGAGCTGTGCTGTTTTTGATCCTGGTGCTGCACACATATCGAGAACCTGCGGATAGAAAATTTGCATATTTTATTCTATTACTTTATAAGAAAAATGTATGTGTCAATAGCTACAAAAAAGCTCACCTTGTGTGAAGGCTTCACATCCAGGACCAAAGGAGGGACCATACTAACTACTTCCTGTCTGCTGATACTGCCATTATTTGTTTCAGCAATAAGAAAGTTATGCAATTTAAAATATGCTTCCGATCGTCTGATATCTTTTCTAGTCAATTGTAATTGCCAAGCAAGTTTCTCCGGATAAAAAGGTAAACTATGTAATATAGTTTTTACATCATTATTGGAGCATTCCTTATCTGAATCCAAATTTGTATTCAAAATTTCTTTGAAAAAGTCACTTTTGATTATTTCTAACAAAACTTTAGCTTCGGCTTTAGAACCAGTAATACGAAAAGCTACTGGCAAATTGGTCCTCATAGTGCTGATAAACGCCTCCCATTTATCTTCTGGAACTATTTCTTGCGTTTTGTAATAATTCTCAAAATCCTTATTCTCTCTAACAATATCTGCGTAACTTCTGTGTGGAGTATTATCCCATTCATCTTTTTTCTGCAAATATTGATTATACATTAAATAGAATATTAGAATTCTAGATCATTTTTTTTCTTTAAAATACAAGATTTCAATAAGGATGTTTTTGTTTAAAATATGTGTTTAAATTACACTAATGTATTTGTATACATAGCCTCTTATAATTTTTCTATCCAGTGATAGTAATCATACCTTCTGCTTCTCGCGACGTTTTTCAGCAAAGTTCTTTTTCGGTTTATTTTTCCGTCCTTTACCCATTTTTCCTTTAAAATATTTACTTTTGATTAATTAATAATAATCGCGCAATACGACTAACACGTGTTTACCTGAAACAGTGAATGGATCGGCTCACATTTGACCACTCATTTGACGCGTGATAGATGGCGTTATTATATATCTGATATACTATAGCGCAAGTATGCAAATGTACAGATTCATATAGATCGCCAAGAAAACAGGAAATAATAATTATAGAACGATACATTCGAACAATATTGAACAATGATCAAAGCTTTGATGTAATTCTTCAAATTATCGATTGGAAAATACCAGAAAATCCCTCTAACATCTGTGGGGTTAGCGATGCGAATGCGTCAAGAAATCAAATCATAAAATTTAACAAGAGATTTAATGAAAATAATAATGATGCATGCAGGGCCAGATTTAGATCGTAGGGGGTCCCTAAGCACTGGCTTTAAAGAGGGCCTTTTTAATTTTTTCCGTCAATTTAATACTCGTATGAAATTAGTTGTATGGAACCTTTGAGGTCCCTGCTGGCGCGGGACCATAAGCAATTGCTTATATTGCTTATGCCAAAATCCGCTCCTGGATGCATGCAAATTTCAATCGTTCTTGCAAATATGTGTATGTGTGTGTAATAAATTTTTATTAAAACAAGTATACATATAATTATACTATAATATATATATATATATACGTTTGATACATCATCAACAAATTATCTCACATAGGCAATTTGATACAATTTAAACATCTACATTTGTGAGTTAAGAAATAATCGTACAATTATAAATCTAAGTTGCAACAACAATCACTGTTATCTGATTCCGAATTAATGATCTGCTATTCGTTTGCAGATTGCTGCTGCAGTGATGACGGAGAGATTAAGCTAATTAGAATCGTTGTTATAATAACCAATCTAATCTATCCTAAAATATTTTTATGTACAAAATTACAGAAATTTTGCGTCGTTAAAGGACAAGGCCTTGATAAGAAAGTCCATCAGAGTCCGGCGATTCCATTCTATTTCTTAAATGTTCTAATGTGTTTGCTAAATGTTTCTGTATTTGATCGGTTTCCTCACTCGCCTCCAAATTAGGAAGCTCCTCCCTAATTTTTGCAATTACTTGATTTAATATTTGCACAGTCACCTGAAAAAAAAAATTGTTCTAGAAATAGCAATTCATAACAAATAATTGTTATTTTGTGATTGGATCTTACAGCTGTATTTCCCTTCTCGTAGAAGTAAATGTAATGATTCAGCAGTTCTACATATAATTGTACTTGCACCGATGTATCCATGCACTGGCTTGCTATTCTGATACCTTTCTTCAAGCAGTCTAACACCTTACCGCCTTCTTGCATCTGAAATTGTACTTTTCATGTAATTTATTTTTCGAATAATCAAGGCTATTCGTACATACCTCTTTCCCGCCTGTAGCCAGGGATTTTCCCGACCAAAATATGTGCGAGCAAGTGGCGACTCCTCGACATTGATCAGGTTTTCTCAGCAATTTACTGGCGTATAAAGCACACTGATTGCGTACAGGTTCCGCATTTTCCTCGCCAAAACAGCTCATTTGTTCGAACGTAGCGATGATTAAGGTAATTGCCGCGAGCTGCGCTTTCGAGTCACTTATTTCGTCTTCGTATATTGAGAACGCTTGACTCATAAATTCATAAGCAACCATCTCAAAATTGTCGAAGCGAATTTCGCCAATCGCTATTGCACCTTGCAGAAATAGTCTCAAGGGTAGTTCGGCCAATTCAGCTTTCATCAAAGCCGTGATAGTCGTGTGACAAAATTGAAAGATTTTTTGACACTTCTTTTGCCACATTTCATCCTGAGAAAAAAAAGAACATTATTTTGTATCGTTATTCGATGACTTCATCTTATACAAATTACCAACCTGATCCTTCAATGCTTTATATGTAAAGGCCAACTGGTAACTTTGGAAAATTATGGGCGGCAGAGTGTATTTTATTCTTTTGTTACCGCCAGCACTGAAGTGCTTTCTCGCAGCGCTTAATATCATATATTGTTGATCCGGTGTGTCCGATTTAAAGTGATGTATTAGTCTGCCGAGTAATCCTTGCTCCTCGGCAAAGTCTTCGGGATCTTCTTCTATATTGGGTTGATCTGATTGATCTTGCACCAAGGGAGACACCATGGAAAGCACTGCGTCCACTTGTTCTTGCATCGGTATCAATGTCTCGTTCTCCAAAATATTTGTTATTATATATATAGCCAGTGATTTCCTGCCCTCATAATCAAAGTAATCCAAGAGAGGCGCATAGTGTTCAAGCTTAAGCACAGTTAATATATTCTTATAATTGTCTACAGGGATTTTCATTAATCTCACTAATTCTCTTGAAACGGCACTATTATACTCCAGCCTAAAAAAAAACGAATATTTAATATACAAAATACAGTACAGTTTAACACGTATAGTAAATCATACTCACTTATCAACATTTTGTTTTTGGAATATTTGAACTGTTGTGAACAAGACTTTGTCTACATAATCTACTCGATCGGGGTAGCATTTATGTGCTAAGTTTATGAGAGCTACTTGAAGAGACACAATATCTTCGGAGGGCATATCTTGTCTTGTCTATAAAACAAGATTTTTATATGTAATGGAAATAAATACATTTTAATCAAAATATGATTTAAGACATTCTAAAGCCATTCTCAGACTTAAACTAGATGGTAAGGAAATTAGGTTTCTAAATCATGAATTTTCAAACATTGTGCAGTATCTAGTCATCATCGAATGACCACATTTCCACACAATTAGTAATGAAATGTATTCTATTTAATAGATACCTGTATAATAGTTGCTATTTGATCGCTGAATACGTCAAAAAGTTTGACATCTTGTGGAATTCCTGGCACTTGACTGGGACTACCAGGTCCTCCTACACCGTCGGATCGTTGACTAAAGGCTGCTAGGCGATCGATCAACGATATAATTATGTTTTTGACATTTACTCCGTTTTGTAATTCCGCACAAGATTTCAGAAATGCATTCAATGTTTGTAAATGAAATTCATCGGGAAAGACCTAAAAACAGATGTATAAAAAAAGCATTAATTTTTAATCTTAAATATTCAAAAATAAAATAGCATTTATATATATAACATATAAAGAGATGTACCTGAATTATACACTCCATAAGATACTCCTGTGCTATCGCATCCCTACAACTAACCACCTGTTCCAAGATTCCTGGCAGTACAAGCTAAAAATATATTTATGCAGTGTTTAACAAAACCTTATTAAAAACATTTTAAATATATAAAATATACCTTTTTATATTTATCCAGTGTTACAGATTCCAGTTGACTAAGTCGTACGAGATTTGTTCCCACTAAGATTCTAAGTTCTTCCCTCTCTCTCTCCCTTCTTTCTTTATCTCTACTGTGACCCTGATGTTGCATGCGTACCCATAATTTATTCATTTCCGCAAAATTCATCAAGACAAAGTCTATGCTGTCACGAACCTGAAAATAACATTTTGAATTAATAATAGAGTGCATGAGGAAAATTTCGCAATTTATGAAATACGTACGGTCCCATCTTCATCATCACCCTCTGTAACATCTGGCAGAATATTCCTTGTGCATTGCAGTAAATAATTTCTTAAAAATAAACCACGTAATGGATGCTGCACGCCTCTGCACATTTCCACGAGATCTCTTAAAAGATCTCTTTTTAAGCCAGGAGTTGTTTTTATGTAAACCAAACCAACAGTAATGAGTAGATAGCTGCAATATTAAGAAAATTATCTTACTTTTCAATTAAAACAATGCAAATGCAACAGAGTTAAAAAGGCGATACATACAGTCTAGGCACAATATTGCCAACATACTGCACTAATTCATAAAGATCTGTAACTTTTCTTCCTTTCTGAAATTCATCCAGTAAATACAATTCTAAATGTCGTAGTTCATCTGTGATTGCCATATCTAATAATTATTATTATAAGGAATATTTATACTTAAACATATAAAATTAGATAATCATATTAAATATAATTCATAGTGTCTTTGATTAAATAATTAATAAGGATACATAATTCATAGTAGCTTTTTGGACTCAGAAGGGAAGTTCTTAGTTCCCCCAACATGGTTGAAGCATGTTTCAGCGCATCCATCAATTTAGACTTGTCTAGACAATGTTTCATCTGAAAAGCTTGGACTTTTACCACGCCAATTGCGTCTTCCAACAGCTTTTCTTGTTCTTCCATTCCCGTTATGGCAGGTGTCATTGGCTGTGAAAAAAACAAAGATACCTACCAGGAATACCAGGTAGTACCGTACTAGATAAGCCATCTAACTGAAGCATGCACTACGGATGCTGAAGCAAGGGATATATTGTCAAAACAAGCACTATTAATCTAACCTATTTAGTAGGTCACTGATTTCTCAACAAAACACATCTCTTAAATCATGGCATTATACAATATTATATATTACACAATTTGTTATATAAATATATTTGCCTACATAACTGGATAATTCTATACAAATTTATTAAATTATAAAAACCTTTTTGATGATTTAATTGAGAATGATTGTTGTAATAAAAAGGGACATAATAAACTATGTCAAAACCTTAAGATATACAAACAATTTTATACCTTCCTTCTATGATTGGATTTACCTGGATTTTTACGATTCAAATAAACATTAATTAATCTGTAAAAAACCAAAAATTAAACATTCTATTTCTATATTATCGCTTTCGGAAAGTCTTGACAAAACTATTCCAACTTGTCTTAACACATAACCTTTACAACACCAAACTAATTATTCAAGCTACAAATAGCACCACATGGATCAAATGCAAGGGAAAATACTTATCCTCGCAAGTAAAGTTGCGAAACATGCTTCTGAAAATTCTACGATTCTTACCATTTTCTCTTGAAAATAAATACAATGTTAGTTATTGTACTGCTGCCACTTTCTTTAACAAGATACTGCAAGATACTAGATACGCCCGACTCTGCTTTAGAGTTCCGATAGATAATCACCGGCCCACCGCATTTGCTTGTGTCCTATATTATGTATTTTATGTATCTCGTACATTTGATAAAAACCATATCTATATTAAAATTTTTTATATATGGTAAAAAACAACTTAAATGTGCATAAAATTTAACAAATAGATTATTTTGAAATGAATCTTATCTCTTCTAATTTAAGATAATAATAAATATTAATCAATTCATCGCAAATAAAAGCAAAAGATAATTTAGATTAAAATAAGAATTAGGAATTAAGATAATTTCAATAAAGTTCTAATAAAAAAATATTTAACTAAATTTGAACTATAAAATCAATATTTGTTACAAAAAATGTAGCTTTATATTTTATTAAATCTTATTTTTATATATTTTATGTATATTAAAATGGAGTAAAGAAAGGGATAAGATAAAAATACATGTACATCATCAGACTTCTATTATATATAAATATATTTATCATAACCCAATGTATACAGGGCTAAGTCTGATTATCCAAAGAGTGTGGATTTGTAGGAGTCTGTTCCTAGTGAATAAACAACCTTTCTGTGAATCAATGCCAACAATAACGAGGCAATTGTAAAGTGTAAAATATTATTTAACCTTTAGTGTTCTCATATATGCATCCAACTCATCTTCAGATTCGCTTTGGTCATTACACTCATTATGTGGAAGAACAGTTTCAGGAGCTTCAGAATCAAAATATTTTTCTTCCTCATCTTGATTTCTCAATTCTACATTATCGTAAGCTTCATTGTCATCAACAGCACTAAAAATAAAAAAATATATTTAGCACACAAATATTTTAATTATTTTTCAAAAATTATTTCATGCAAACGCATCAATATTAATTAATATTTTGTATACTTATGTATATATAAAAAATATATAACTAAACATTCTTATTTATTATCAATCACACTTAAACTATTTATATTCTACATACAGAATACAGAATGTAATGTGTGTATTTTAGTGTTGATTAACACAAATATACCTATAATCAAAATATACAAACAAATATACCTATAATCAAAATCTCTGTCTTTACCATCCAGGAAACTTTGATACATGTTTGTAACAAATTCTTGTCTAAATAATTGTATTTCTTGGTTTAATATTTTATTCTGTTTCTTATCTCTATCCGATTTATTTTTTACTGTTACTTTATTTATATCTTCACCCCATTGGAAATGAGTCTGTTTGTTAGAGTTCTTGGATATAATACTTTCTCTGCTATTGTCATCATCGACGTCGTTGTCGTCGTCATCATCATCATCATCATCATCTGAATCATTCTCTTCTCGTACTTCATCTTCTTCTTTTTGTTGTAACTTTAAATGTTTTTCTAATTTATGCCTTTCTATAGTTTCCAGAAGTACATCCACATAATTAACACTACGAGTATCGATGCTATCTCTAGCTTTCTTTTCTTCTTCTGTCAAGTATTGTCCTACTAGATGTTCATATAACAATGGATTTCTTTTCATCATTTCACATTCACTAAAATATTCTCCCTTTTCTATCAATGTCTTCAGAGCTTCATATCTTCTATTTCTGACATCAATATGTCGTGTGGAATTATTGAAATATCTCCTTAATCTGTTTATGTGATAGGCTGTCTCATAATCTTCACTTTTATTAAAATATTCCAAGTGTTCCATTTTCAAATAATGTCCAAATTTAGATAAGAATAAACACCGGCTCTTTTCTAACAATTTTTCAGCTATGGCACGCTTCTCCTTAAATGTCAACTCAGGTTCTTCCTTCTGTTGGCTCTTGAAAATTGCTTTGCTGTTAGCCACATGATTTAGAAGTTCTTCCTCGAGACTATTATGTGTGACATCTGACATAGGACAGTCTATGCTACATTTTTTATTATCATTATCATTTTCACTACACAAAGCATCTTTTTTTGCTCTTAAATTCATATTTTCTTTCTGAACTGGAGACTCTTCAAGCTCATTCATTAGAAAATCAATTTTAATTTAGAAAATTGAATAGATTGTAATTTATATGAGCCAGTTGTGTTTGTTGCAAATCTATTTATAAGATTAACTTACGACGCATATATATTTTTATTTTATTACAATTACTATTTTTTTTCAAGGATTACACGTTGCTTTGTCTTATTATTATTATTCCTGATAAATAAGATAAACGAGCGTAACTTAGTATCTGCGTGTTTGCACATACGATGAATTGTCGGACGATGAATCCTTTTTTACAGTTGCATCACTATGGGCCTGTTCTTTGTGATTGTATTATCTTATATTTCGTTCATCCGAAATGAGATAGGTATATAATACAAGGGAAGAAGAGACAAAGAGGAAAGAAAAAGGTTTTCTAGGAAATAGAAAACAGACAATGCGTCATAAGTTCTGGTCTTAATTACACTTTCTGTACTTATTTTCGCAGCTCTTTCTCTCTCCAAAGGCTAAATGTAGGTTCACTTCATGTTGAGTGCGAAAGTGCAAAACGAGCACACTCATTGCCAAGGGAAACTTAACCTGAAAATACTTGCTGATATGACAGGAAAGCAGCAAAATGTAATGTGAACGAGAAGTTGTAACAAACAATACAGTGTTTATTAATATTGTATATTTTAATATTTATGGAAATTTTTTGATCAACAGGTATGTTTTCTCAATGTGCCAATTCTTATTGTTTACTAATCATTCATTAAGCCTTCTTATCTGCCTATAATTGATTATCAATCAAGTCAATCGTTCGTGATATCATTTTACAATTTCTAATCATGCAAATTTAATATTGTTATAGTGTGCAATTGTTTTGTTACTTGATTAATGAAAAATTGTGTTATATATTGAGCATGGTTGTAAGTAGAAGTCATGTAAAAATTTGAAAACTTTAATAATCTCTTTCAACAAAACAGCCAATATATTTCATTATATACATTTTTAATTAAGATATTATTTATTTTGTTTAATTTATTTCAACGAAATCTTTTATATTTATGGAAATAAATATCTAATAATGCTTATTTTTCAGTTTTGTATTTAATATATTATTTAAATGTTCAATATAATTGCTCTGCATTCTTTCAACAATATTTGTTTAACCTATGAAAGATAATAAAAGTTACTTAATCATGAGATAATTATAATTGCAATATTGCAGTATGGCAGAGAATTTGTTGAGTGATGTAGAAAGGTGGACATGGAATTGGACAGAGTTATGTGGACATCGTGGTGATATCAATCCTTTAAATCCAGAAACACATGACTTAGGTATATGTTTCCAGCAGCTGTGTCTTCAGGTAACACAATTAATTTTGTTTTCAATTAAATTTAGAATATAAATTAATATAATTTTTTATCAAATCTATTTCATTACTTTTAGATACCAGTATTAGCTCTTATAGCTATAATTTCTGCATATTATTGTGGAAAAAGAAATACACCTTCATTTCGACAACATACTTATCACGCTTTAAATATAAGAATTTTAATTACAATATGCCTTGCGATATTGCCTATTATAAGGGCATATATTATTTTAACTAATACCACTATCCCTGTGGTACATGACGAAGTGCAAAACTACAGCACACCAGTACCAAAAAGATTGGATACTTCCTTTCATAGAAACATAAGTTCACCTTTAGATGAAAGAGACGTCATAGGCAAGATACGAGATGGATTTAATCACACTGTGAGATTTGCTAAGTCAATTTTATCGCCAGAGAGCAGTGTTAAAGATACTACTATAATTCCTGCTGTACCATATACCAAGAATTATGAATCAATGTCATTGGATATTGCTGATAAATTTACTTCCGCTAAACCAGTGGATTATCTTGTAGCAGGCACTGAAGGTTTAGCGTGGGTTGTGCATCTGTTTTTTATTTTAAGCTTGAAACGTGGGCGTAATCCACGAGGACCACTCGTGATACGAACATTGATATTTCTTTTGATTGTAATTTCTTCGTTACTGCTCCGCAGTCACGTCAATAATAAACCTAGAGATGATGTTTTGCCAAATTTATCATTGGGTTTCAGTATCAGCGTAGTTACTTTTCTGATATTGTACGCCATAACATTGATACCGGGTAATAGGTCCGAGTATACAAGAGTATCATCTCGAAATGTCACGGTAAGTCTACGTAAGCTGTTACCACACAATTATCTTTATGCACTACGCTTCTATTTTCTTTGATTTGTGTCTTTGATATTATTATGATTAAGTTGCATAAAACGTGATCTAATTGCCTGTATCTACACTGGATTATTAAGCAAACAGAGATATCACGGATTTGTGACTTGAATGAATGTGTTTGCAGATAGGAGAACGCACTGCACTGCTAAGTAGTCCCACTTCCTCATACGTGCAATTTCCGGAGCAACAGGACCAGAGCTATCTTGGTGTTGCTATGGAGGATACAACTATCATTTCTAAGCTCCTGTTCCATTGGGTAACGCCGTTAATGCAAAAAGGCGTTAAAGGGCTATTAAATAATTCCGACGATTTGTTTGATTTACCTGAACAAATCAGTACCGGCATGATCAGTCATAAAATTGACAAATGTTTACATAATACGGTAAACAAGAAGGCATAATAATCCAAAGTTTATTTCTTTGTTTGATGTAATCTTTTTATCAAATGTTTGTGTGAAAGGTAATCGTTCATAAATTATAAGTTTCATAATCAAACTGATTATTATATTGCAGCCGAAAACGCAGCCTGTGAACAACGGAGTCGAAAATAACACGGATATACCGCTTCACACGAGTGTGAAAGTAATTACAAAGAAAGTGACATTGTTGCATTTGCTACATCAATGTTTTGGCTGGGAATTTTACGCTGTTGGAATACTGAAATTTATCGCAGATTGCAGTTCGTTTATGGGGCCAATATTATTAAATAGATTGATAGGATTTATTGAAGACAGAAATGAGCCAATCTCGCATGGATATCTATATGCGTTTCTTATAATACTGAGTGCTATAATTGGTAAAAAATTAAAATTCAATTTCGATATTTTTAAAATATTTGTTACATTTGACTAATGACAATAATGTTTCCAGGTGCCTTTTGTAATACTCATTTTACATTTTGGATGTCTGTTGTGGGTTTGAAGATTCGTTCTGCAATAATTACTTTAGTCTATCGTAAAACATTACACTCTTCTAATACTGATTTAAATCATAATTTTAACTTTGGTGAAATTGTTAATTTTATGAGTACTGATAGTGATAGATTAGTTAATAGTTGTCCTAGTTTTCATACATTTTGGAGTATACCGCTGCAGGTAATTTTCTGATGAAAATATGAATCTGAAAATTTTATAACAATTTCTGAAGAAAAGGGAGAAAGCAAAATATTAATTTTTTTTTCAGTTATTTGTGACGCTGTATCTTCTACACAAACAAATCGGAAGTTCGTTTTTAGCTGGCGTTGCATTTTCGATCATACTAATACCAATCAATAAAGTCATAGCAAATAAAATTGGTAAACTCAGTGCCAAGTTAATGGAGTATAAGGATCAAAGAGTAAGGCTGATGGGAGAGATATTGCGCGGGATAATTACAATTAAAGTTAATGTGTGGGAAGAGCACTTCTTGCGAAATATTCTTAGTGAGTATATAACATTTTTACATAAATTATTTTAACTAAACAATTTCTCATTTTATTTATGTATCTTTTTTATACAGAGCTAAGAGAGAATGAAGTGAAATATCTACGAGGTAGAAAATATTTAGACGCTCTTTGTGTTTATTTTTGGGCAACTACACCTGTTGTTATCGCAATATTAACGTTTGCAACATACGTATTAGTTGGGAATGAGCTCAATGCTAAAATCGTTTTTACCAGTATGGCATTGTTAAATATGTTAATAGGACCTTTAAACGCCTTTCCATGGGTTCTGAACGGTCTTACTGAAGCATGGGTATCTCTTAAGAGAATTCAAAGAATGTTAAACGTATGTACAGTAAAATCGTAATATAAAGCGTACAAATTGTTGCATCTAGATATTTATTTTTTAATTTTATTTAGTTACCAGACATGGACGCATCATTGTACTATACAGATATTACTCCTGATGTTGATTTATTGTTACAAAATGTAACATTGACTGTGGATCGTCCAAAGAGTAATGATAATACGCCAAGCGCGAGTCCGAAAGCTGAAACCGCTACGTCCTCAAGTACCAGTGTTAAGAAAAGTGTTACTTTTGAAGATACCGATGTCTTTGCATTACAGAATATTAATTTGTCTGTACAGAAGGTAAGAAAAAATTTTATGACGCTCCTTTCAAATGTAAACCAAATATTTTTTTGTACAGGGACAATTAATTGGTGTTATGGGCCAGGTTGGAAGTGGAAAGTCCTTGCTTCTACAAGGTATCTTAGCAGAAATTACGAAAACGAGCGGAATAATAGCGGGTTAACGACGATCACAAAGGTTTCGGATACGTGAAACAAAATCCTTGGCTACAACGCGGCACAATTCGAGATAATATTCTGTTTGGAAAACCATACGATCATAATAAGTACAGGTAGTTATCAAGCGTCTTGAAATTGACACTCATGTTAAATGTGTATGTTTTTTTTTATAAAATAAACTAATTTTAAATTAATATTTTACTTTCGATTACAACAGGAACATTTTAAAGGCTTGCGCTCTTACTTCCGATCTGAATTCACTGCCTAACAAAGACTTAACAGCCGTTGGTGAAGCTGGGAACACTTTAAGTGGTGGCCAAAAGACGAGAATTTCCCTGGCTCGTGCTGTGTACGCGAATAAAGATATTTATTTGCTGGATGACATATTAGCGACATTGGATGTTAAAGTTGCTCGACACATTTTCCAGAATGTGATTTTAGATTTATTACGGAATAAAACCAGGATATTGTGCACGCATCAGACTCAATATTTGGTTCACGCAGATTTAGTTATTGAAATGTCGAAAGGAAAAATTATTAATCGTGGGAAACCGAGCGATACATTATCCGACTTGGAAGATTATCTTCTGTCGTCGGAATCAATCGAATATAATTTGGACATGGCATCTATGAAAATACTGCCCAGTGAATTTAATCAATTGGAAAATAATGAGGAAGATCCATTGCTTGATAAGGAAGCGACCGAAAAGGGGACAGTACAATTGTCGGTATATTCAAGTTATATCAAGGCTATCGGACAATATTTGGCGATCTCGATATTTCTCTCAATGATTCTGATGCAAAGCTCAAAAAATATTACCGATTTGTGGCTGTCATATTGGGTTACTCACACTAATGCCACAGCTGTTAATTCAACCGACATGTCCAGACTAAAAAGATTGCAACTCTATTATGATACTTACAATTTGCATGATACAAAATATTACTTGACGGTTTATAGTCTGCTGGCTGTATTCAATACTATTTTTACTTTAATCAGAGCCTTTATCTTTGCGTACGGTGGCCTGCAAGCAGCTATAACGATACATAAGCAACTCTTGAAGATAATTATACGGGTGAGTATAAGCTAGACATATGAAATGATTGCTATTTCTTAATTATAGGATTTTATTATGAAAATATTGTTTCAGGCAAAAACGACATTTTTTGATATTCAACCGTTCGGCAGAATCATAAATCGGTTCTCGTCTGACACATATACAATCGATGACTCTCTGCCTTTTATCGCTAACATTTTGCTGGCACATCTATTTGGCCTGATTGCTACTGTTATAGTTACAGCTTACGGGCTACCATGGATCTTCCTGGTATTAGCACCCATTATACCTATATATCATTGGATACAAAATCATTACAGGTAAATCTTTTCGCAAATATGCACGAGTATATAAATATGAAAATATTTCAAAATTTTCTATTATCTTTCAGATTAACATCGAGAGAAGTAAAACGACTATCCAGTATCACGTTATCCCCTTTATACGCTCATTTCAGTGAAACGTTGAATGGTTTAACAAGTATTAGAGCCTTTCGCACTGTGCCTCGCTTCAAACAGGAAAATGAAATGCTACTAGAAGCCAGCCAAAAAACGCAATTTGCTTCTATAGCTGCCGGTCAATGGCTCGCGCTGAGATTGCAGTTTATCGGTGTCATCCTTTTAGCTGGAGTCAGCATTATGGCAGTTTTACAACATCAATATGACATAGCTGATCCTGGCTTAATTGGCTTAGCGATCACGTATGCCTTGTCCGTAACCGGACTGCTGTCCGGGGTCGTGAACTCTTTTACTGAGACTGAGAGAGAGATGATTGCGGTGGAACGAGTCAAACAGTATTTAGATAACGTACCGACTGAGAATGCGACGGGCGATAATCCGCCTTACGCGTGGCCTAGTCAGGGTGTTGTAGAATTTAGAGACGTCGTTTTAAAATACAGGTACGATTTTCTAGCATAAAGTAATATACTTTTATGGCACTTAGCAAAAAATGTAATTTGTCACGTTTGCAGAGATCACTTAGTGCCATCGTTGAAAGAAGTAACATTTGTCACGCGACCGGCAGAGAAAATAGGCGTTGTAGGCCGGACCGGTGCTGGGAAAAGTTCGTTACTCGCTTCGTTATTTAGACTGACAGAAATTAGTTCTGGGAATATATTAATTGATAACGTGAATATTAAAACGCTACAATTAAACGCACTAAGGTAAGATTGATTATTGTTGCAAGAAATTAAATAATTGAAATAATTATTATAGTATGTTAATGGCTGTAAAAACTGTTCTAGATCCCGCTTAGCTATTATACCTCAAAATCCGTTTCTCTTCTCGGGTACTATTCGAGAGAACGTGGATCCATTGGAACAGTACACCGACATGCATATATATAAAGCTCTTGAGAAGTGTAAAGTGCATTCTTTAGTTAATAGATTGGGTGGCTTGGGCGCTACTTTGGATGAAGGTGGCAGTAACCTCAGCGCCGGTCAGAGACAATTATTCTGCTTAGTCAGGGCTGTGCTACATAACGCTAAGGTGCTTCTTATCGTAGTTCCAACAAGCGATATTGTTCGCGTTAATTAATTTCGTATTAATAACGTCATACTTGTCTACCGTTTTCAGATTGTTTGCATCGATGAAGCTACTGCGAATGTAGATCAGGAGACAGATAAGTTCATTCAAGCAACGATAAAGTCTTCCTTCCAAAGTGCGACGGTTATTACTATTGCTCATAGAATAAGGACGATTATGCACTGTGATAGGTATTTTTTTTTCTCTTGGATCCAAATGCCGTCAATAATGTTCGCGGATATGAAAGATTTAATCAGCTTTGTGATCTATTTGTTAACTTTCATCTAACATCTTATTTTTTTCTTAGAGTTTTAGTGATGGGAGATGGAGAAGTACTGGAGTTTGACGAGCCGAATTTATTGATTCAGAATGCCGATTCCCACTTCTATCATTTGGCCAACCAAGAATTTTCCGATCATGAATAAGAAATTGAAGATATAGTAATCATGAATATAACTGCAATATATGCTAATTGGTATTTTTTTAGATAAATTATTTTCATACGATAAAATTACATTTCAACTTAAGAATAAATTAAGAACGCGACATTTCTACGAGAGCAAATATTTTTGTTTATTGCGAGATATGTAATGTGTATTAATAGTGCGGTTGTTATTGTATTAGTGTGAGACTATTTTAAGTAATATTTATGTGAGGACGATTCTATATATAGAGTATCCATATATTTTATACACAAATAAATATTTCCAGTAAAAAAAATTGCCAAACATTCTTTTCCTATCACTTAGTTAATTTTCCATACTTTGTATAATTCAAGGGACAAGATTTACTAGAAATTTCATTAAAAATTTTGGAAACGTTGACTCTTCGAGTTATAGCTCTTACGATAATAGTAAAAATACTTGAATTGCGCCGTCTTGTAAAAAATGTATTAGTTCGAATCATACTCAGATGCAATTCATCCGAAACGTGAGTGTAGATTTATATCGTAATTAGAAATGTAAATGCTCGCCGTTAAAGCCAGACGTTTTGCAATACTGTTTGCAGAGCTAATTAACTCGAGAAACGGCGATATATTCCTATTCGATGTGACGTTCCCTCGCTCATCATTACGAGGCGGTGAAAAGTAATGTAGCTCGGGCTAATTTGCTCTCCGGTTTTTAATTGTCCGACATTTAGCAGGACACACATTCCGCGACGTTGGTGTGTCGACGAAACGTGCATTCGCGTCCAATTGACTAAATGGTTAGAAAATGCGAAAGAAGCATGGGATCTAAACCGGAAAACAAGCGCAATTCACGTCGCTAATGACGTCGTTCATTTTGCACGATCGGTCGGTCTTCTGCGGCTTTCAGCGATGCCAAGAATTCGCCGGGCTTAAGTTCACTCGCAATCATAGTCGAAAACTATTGAGGATATTTCTAGAAGCATGACTAAATCGGCTAAATTTAAGAGAATACGTCTTGGCGAATAGAATGTTTTACATGACATCTTGTTATGTAATCATATATTTATTTAAAATTAATTCTAGTTTAATCGGTTACTTTAGTTTGTTAATGTTAGAGATACACACGACATAACTGCCTTATTGTACACGTAGAAACGTATTCTTATTATTTTGTTTTTCTTATTTATTGAATTTTAAACTTGCATGGAGAAACGTCTCGAAAGTTAGTTTTCTTACTGCGTGTTTTATAGGCTGTCGCAGATATTGGCGCATGACATAACTTTACGATAAGCTTCGCTTTTAAACCGAAATTGCCAGTGCTTTGTGGCAGGAGCTCACGTGTCTCAAAGGAAACTTCATGACTGATAAGTAAAAAAAGAGAGAAAAAAAATACAGCATGATAGAACCGTTAGATTCTCCCATCCGCTTTGTATCATGTTGCTCGAAAGTATTCGCGGCAGGAATACTTTTACGACAGGACATTCCGCTCGTGACGGTAAAAAACATCAGCGATTCACGTAGCAAGTATTCCTCCTTTTCTCACGATTTATATATGCGCTTTCAGAATTTTTGACATTACTCAAACCTGTAACACATCTATTTGACAATTCTAACAATTTCAAAGCAATTTTTGTATCAATAGATTTAATCGATACAAAAATATCTATGTAAAATACTTATATATTCTTTATACAATTGCTGCCTTGACACAATCTATTTTAATTTCATCAAAATCACACATGTGAATGTAGAGAAGATAACTCGCATAAGCTCTGAGAAGTGGACAAAATATATTTGAGTGAAAACGTTCAAATGCGCGTCCCCAAAGGGTTGGTTCATTAACAGATTACATCAGCTTCGTGGAATATTTGAAATCTCATCTCGGACGCGACGGCTTGTCGTATCACGGATGATATGCCGCCCTTCGCCCTTACGCACCTCTCAACGAGCACTTGAGGTCTGCAGCATAGTAACTATATGATGGGGACCTGGTTGGCTACCCCAAAAGTGCACCTATCGGGGGGGTTGATTCAACGAACACGTTACCCTAGAGACCTGCGCTAAAGCGTAGAGAGCGAAAGAGAGAGTGAAAGAGGGGGTGATGGGGATGGGGAGGGTGTTCGCCTCTTTGATAACTACCAGGCGCTATTATCCGATTCGAGTGCAATTTCATAGTAAAACGGTCGCGGATATTAAATCATAGGTGGGCGCAAATCGATACGGCGGTATTACAGCCGTGTACAGTAATATAATTACCATTTATTACCGCAATTTATACGACACGAACGGTGTTGCCATAAACCGCACGCTGCTCAACCAAAGCTGAGAAATGCTATGTTGAAATTTACACATGGAATCGCGCTAAAATATTAATTATATTAAATACTTTACATTACGATCGGATCCGGAGAGAGAGATGCCATTTAATAACTTTAATTACTAAAATTCAACGGAAATACCCCCAATATTTGTTCTTCCATTTATCATCGAGTTAATTACGAGTAATATTTGTTGCTTTTATAATCTTTTTATGAATCTAATAAATAAATTCTGAAATTCGAGATAATGATCAATTTGCCTTAATTAAAATTAAAATATCGTCAATTGAATAACAATGGAGTCATTTCTACATTATCACGTCACAGGTCAGGATTTGCTTCCGCCGAGATTAAAACGCGATTGTATGCGATAAAAGATAATCCTCGATGAAAAAAAAAGAAGATATTATGGCATGGAGACACGGTGATGTGGATGTCAAGCGGAAAGCTGATTACACGACCATATATCTAAATTAGGAGCGAGCCACTATAACTCATTACGCTCACAATTCTCTTTCGTCAGGCGGTCGCATGTTGCAGGCATAAATCATAATTTGCTCTACTGGTGGTCGCAGGTGGACAGAAATAGCGGGATGCAAATCTAAAAAGCTACGATTGCGTGCAATGCGCGACACGGCTAGATGAGTGAAACGTGCGACGCGTGCAATCGATTCCGGCCCAATCTTTCGCGCCGGTGATTACAATGACATTTTTTTTCCCCCTCGCTTTAATTGATCCAATAATTCTTCCTGACACCAGCGGCCCAAGGGCAAACAGGTTAAGTGCCCACATCAACCAGAGTTCTGAAAGCTCCATCGCGAAGAATATAGAGATATATCGCTTTTATTGTTTTATTCAAGATTTTGAAACACAATTATTTATTTTCGTATTTTCGTATTCTATTTTAAACGTTTGCAAAAATAGCAGAATATATATCCTCCCATATAATACTTTTTATCACGTTTGAAAGCAGGTTTATCTTAATAAGAATTTGAATAATACCCTGAGTGATATTTTTAAAAATAGTAAAAAAAAAAAAAATAAAGAAAAAGTTGTCACAAGACGCAAAAATCACATCTCTCATATTTCCATTAAGTAAGGCAAGATACGTCGGATGACGGATATAATGCGCTAGCTACTGCTTTTATCATGATTAGTGCACGATGCGATGGAAAACTGCGTGCACATATACACACGCGATATACAAATGTCGAAGTGCATCGGTGCATCCAAACACTGTATGTATATCGTTCACGTTGCAACATAAGTTACGCGATACGCGTACCGATATCTAGCGCGTTCATATTGGGTTTTTCTCTCGGGAAACGTGAATCGTCTCGTGTGTCGCGATGTCGGCCTCGCCATCATCTTCTTCCTATTGCCACAGGTTTTTACTCGTCAGATATTAAAATATGAAATGTAAAGCTGACTGATCAAAGCGCGACGTTGAAGTATTGTATAAGGGCTTAATTATTTCGGACATCGAAATATCTACGGCTGCACAGACAGTCTAGAATTCCCCTTTATCTCAAATTATAATTTGAAAAATTATAAATTATTTTCTAGATTATTATATTAATGTGAAGCTTTTATCATGATACGACAAAAATGTTGAAAAAGTGATAAGAATATTAATGAATTTTTCAGATACTTTTTTTATGCACTTTCTATATCATCAATTAATCAACAGTATAAATATTCGTGAGATACAAATGTAAAATAATGAAATATAAATCTTATAATAAGTTTTCATAATTTTTCATCATTTTATACTCGCCATTATGATATCTTTCCGGAGGACAGGATTTCAGCTTTACTACGCGTCGTCGGGTGAAGATTAAGGATCCGCGTGTTACGAACAACGCGAGTAGGTATCTCCAGACGAAGTTTCGCATAGCTGTTCGCGTGGATACGCATCGTTCATATAATGCGAGTCATATTATACAGTTTGTCGCAGCAAGAGACACGCCGGAGATACGTAAGTGACGGCCCTTCTACATTTACTTCTATCCGGCGGGCTCATTACTTCGTCTCGCGTTAAGCTGAGCGTGTTCAACGCCCGTTGACAGTGATCGCCGATGCGCCAAAGACTGCGCCGAGGAAATCAGCTTTTCTTTTTTCTTGCCTTTTTTCTATTGCGGATCGTGAAGGCGTCCATTCATCACGCGCCACATTATAATTGACGAATCTCGGCGAGCCAAGACAGCTGCCTCGCTCCGGATCTCGAGTCTCGCCTAGGAAGGGGATCAATGTGCAAATCTCAGTTCAATCTAATGTCTGAGTATCATTCCATTGAACGAATAATCGTTTGAGGATTAAAGACTAATTTATTCTCGATACTCGATAAAGAATTTAGAAGATATTTATATCGATTAAATGTTTTCTTCCTTGAGGTTTAATGTCGTGGCAGTTTATTCTTTTTTCCAGACTCATGCTCAAAGTTTCAACATATATATTTCTAAATTAGTTTGCATCGGGTTTGATTCTATTTCTGCCTTCGTCTCCCATAATCCACAGCGAATTAGGCGAATTTTGCGTTCTCACATGCGACGCGCGTTTACCAAAGGGAAGCGATTAATTGCGTTTAATATTTCTGCTCGGTGAGCAGAACCAATGATTATCCTATAATATTGCGCGAAATATTCAGTTTCGATTACACCAAACCGCAAATGTTACAATACTAGAAATAATTAAACGCGTAATACTTGCGAACGATAATGCCACGCACGATCTCGCAAAGCTATAAAGTTTTAATCATGTTACTAATGGGCGTCACGAATGATCCAGCATTTTTTAATTAATTCTAGACTTAAAAGTGTATACGTCTTTTCAATGTGTGTACTTGTTACCAAAGATTTTTAATTTATATTTTAATTTTCGTTTCATATTGCAGCAAAAAGTAATTAAAATCTTCCGCACAATTGATTAAAATATTTAAAATTTCTTTAATTTTTATTTTTTTATTTAGATTGAAAAAAAAGAATTTTTATAGG